AGGCTTTCTGCATATATATATATTTACGCGTAGGAACAAATACACCGAGCACGGCGAAGCGGGATTATTTTGACTACGGGCTGTTGCTAAGAAACGCTGCTAGAGCTCTGTAATTCATTTAATAGTTGTTCATCCTTATCGAATAGGATTTTGCACGTGAATGACTAGTACCCGCAGGTTGTTATTCATCCGCTCATACAACATGTACTGGACCACAAGATGTGAGATTGTGAGATGCTGCACAACAGCGAAGATATTCCCGTTACATTCCTCATACTGTACATTTAGAACCTTATGTACATGTCAGGGAGGAGTATGTTTTATTTTGCGATCTCCATTAAATATTTCTGAACAAACCTGTTCTGCAATGATAGTGCATAAAGGGGTTTTTGTATCTTCACCCCAGGTGATGAACTTTCTGCTGTAGTACATCATACATAAGCACATTATACATATAAATAATAACAAGTCAAAAGAGATTTGGCTATTTTGCTAATTATATTTTACACATATTTATAACTTTTAAATACGGTGCTCAGCGTAATTGAGTACAGCCCATTTTGAAAATTAATATTTGTATCCATTTCTCAGTGAATATAAGGAATGTATTTTGGTGGATTTAAACAAAACAGATTTATTAAACAGATATATTTATTAAAATAATATTTAGTCACCAAACATATTTAGAAATAGACAGATAAAACAAATAAATTCAAGCTAAATATTGCAAAAAAAAAAAAAATACAAACTGAAAATTTTCAACTAAATTTGTAAAGAAAATTTGCTACTCCTAATTTTTTCCTCTTTTTAAAATTTATATTTAATGTTTGTCTATAATATAAATTTAGGTGTACTAGTTTTTGGACTGTTTTCATATTTTTTTTAAATAAGCTCCAGATTTGGCTTCAGTACTGACTAAACTAATGTATAGGCACAAATTGTAAAATAACTACAAAGACATTTACAATATTGTACAACAAATTTTAAAATAACTAAGTGAAGAGTTTTGGATATTTTACAGCTGATATTATGCGCATATTTATGACTTTTGTATATAGTAAAATAATATCGAATTAAAGTACATAAGAATAAAATGATAAATCTTAATCAAACAATATGTAAGAAAAAAGCACTGGAATATTATACATATTTAATATATTATTTACAACATTAAGTGTAAAATAAAATCAAATATGATAAAATAAACAGTACAATTTTTACAGTACACGCTTAATAGAAAGTAAATAGTTTCAAAGTATTAATTTCCTAGAAATTGTTAACATTTTATTTAAAAATAAAAAGTACTTTAAGTGGTGGGAAATCACAACTCTTGTTTATTAAACTGAGTTTTTTTTCCAGATTTTCCTGTATTTATTCATATTATTTCAGAAGTTCACCCTTAGCTGATGATTGATAATAAATCATATTTACCATGCTGTCCCGGGAGAGAGCCCAGAGCTCAAAAGATCCTTGAGCCCAGGGCTCCGTCCTGTTCGAAGGGTGAGAGAGGAGTTTGAGCTCGGGTGGATCTCAAGAACTCCCCTGCTATAAGTAACAAATATGAAATACTATTGGCTAAAGCTTACCTATAGTGTCTATTTAGTGTCTATGTATGGGCCGGTATAAGATTCTGATGGTATGATAACCTTGGATAAAAATATCACGGTGGTTTCACGGTTTGATAGTATTGTAATTACTGCTCTAAAATATATTCTTTTTAAATGTCTGTGTAAAATAACAACATTTTTTCCCTTTGAACACAAACTATTTTATTTTGAGAAACTTTTAAAGTATTTTGTTACAGTAAACATGTCAGGCTGAATAATTCAAATGAATAATTGACTTCTGCTGACTTCAGTAGTTTCAAAAACACAGATTTCATTGCAATTTAAAACGCCATCTCTGGTGATCTTTTCTGCTGAAGATACAGTTGTCCTAAAAAAACTTTAAAATGTAGAAACAAACAACAACATAAAAAAATGTATATACTGTATACCATAGGAACGGTATAGCTGAAAAATTAGTGGTTTTAAAAGTTTGACTTTTCCAAACCACGGTAAACCTTGAAAACCGCTTTCATCCCATTCCTAATAGTGCCAATTTACTTTGTTCAATTCACTTATGTCGCATGTTTTTGGACTGTGGGAGGAAACCCACTTGAGCACAGTGGAGAACATGCAAACTCCACTCAAAAATGTCAGCTGGCTTGGTAAGAACTTGAACCAGTCACGTTCTTGATGTCCTAACTATTGGACCGCCATGCCACCTGAAAGGGGGATTCTTCAAAACGAGGATACTGAGGTGAGAAGTTGTAGTTATTAATAGTGAGCTAGGCACTGACTGATTGGTGTATTGTGTAATGGCTAATGCTGGACCAGCCGTGATCAATCATAAGCATCGCGCTCCTCTCGAAATTAGTTAGTTACATATTAGTTAGAAATAAAATGCAAAATAAATAAAATAAAAGTGTACTCTAATAGTTTGTAGTAAAAAATATAGTGTCCACCTAATAATTGTGTCAAGACAATGATTTAGAAAGATTTATATTCACAAATATTAACATTTGTCGTTTACAAGGGCAATGTCCCATGAAAGAAGATCATCGCATCTATGAGTCCATCCCAGATAAAGAGTATTAAACCCCTAAATTAAATAACATTGTTGGCTGATGAAAGTAGTAAACCGTTAACTCATTTCTTTAATCTAGCCAATAAGGAGCCAGTGTGGTTTGCTTTAACTGTTCATATATGTATGGTCTCACTGGATCATCCGCTTTAAAGCAGGGATTTAACCAGAGAAACACGCAGCTCAATCCTGACTCCACACAGATCAACTCAGATAGTGCTTTTCATGATACGGGGCTTAACACAACAGACTTTTAAAAGTCAGCACATACTTGAAGAGACCTTCAATCTTCACAAGTGCCAAAATTAAAAACGGAATCAGTTCAATAAGCAGCCGAAGATCATTTTGCATGCATTTGCACAGCATTGCCTGCACACACACAAACACACACATACACAGTGCTGGTGTTGCTCTGTTATTCAGTTGCTCTGCAGCAGAAATCAGCGCGCAGTCAGCTAGTATGAGACGCCGCAGTGTTACGCTATAGCACAGCAAAAGAAAGGGACATGGAGTTTGTAAGTGATGATTAGCAATCCGGCACGAGGCCCTGCACCCATACAGCAGCCTGCTAATAAAACACTGTGCGTGTCACGGTTGATAAAAGACCTCCGCTCAATGACGACGCAGTACAGCGATGACGGCATCTCTCCCTCCCCTGGAGAGCTGGAGGTAACTTGCTGGGGAACGCATTAAGAGCAGTTCTGCAGCTCAAAACACAAAGGTAAACTGATCAGTTAAATGAAGCCCTCGGTTCATTTCAAGAAAGCAAGTGTGTATCGACTGCTCATGACTATTATCTATTGACCCAGATGTGCTGAGGGAGATTAATATCTTAAATAACCCACCTGCACTGATAAAGGAGACCAACGGTCACTGTTCACTAGCTCATGAATGACGTTTGGAAAGGCAAAGGGTAAATTACCTTTCATGCGCTCCAGCTCAAACACCTTTTAAACACACTGGGGTCAGTGAGTGACGGTGTTCCTGATGATGATTATTATTATTATGGTAGCACATTATTGACAGGAAGAAAAAGGATGATTAATTGCTTGTTTTAAGAAGTGATATCTGATTAAAGTTTAGAAATTCCTATGAGCTTTGCTTGTTAACCCAAGATAAAATAAGAAATAACATTAAGCTTCAGGTCTGGATGTGGGATGTAGCCTAGTGGTTATCAGATGACTGGGGTGGCAGAGACATACGGGACTTCTGCTGAGTAAGCAGGAAACTGATTCAGTTAAAGCAAGACCCATGGGAATCTCTGTAGTTCCTGGGACACCGCGAAGATCCTGTGCTTCCCAAGCGGATACATAGCCAAGCACAACCTGACACCGCTAACTTGCATTTCCTCCTGGTTGAACACATGCCTTACCACCTGTAAGGGCGACCTCATTTACCTTGTAAAAGTAGAAAGTGACGAAAGAAATGACGCTTGTGAGCATGAAAACACGTTTACTGTTATACTCGGGAAAGAATATTGTAGCAAAGCAATATTTAGGATTTGCAAGATGAGGTGCATAGCTCAAAATCTCTATAGTGGGGTAAATGCTCTGATGACGTTCAGTAGCTATCATACCGTTCTGCAGTATGGACAACAGCGAAAGGTATGTACAGTTTGCGCATGCGCAATTACTGACGGTTGTGACATGCGAGTTTTAAGCAGTGCACTTTCTGCGATATCGACCGCTTGACCGCACATTATTTAACTATTAACACGCCTATTTAAATGTGCCTTACATGAAACCTATTTAAATGTGCAATAAATTACTTTTGAATGGGAAAATATGTCAATAGCTTAGAGACTTAATCTGATCACTTCTCAGCAGGTATGGTCAGTTGTTTTGCGTTGGCTTGCGTTAATATTTAATCGCTGATGAATGATCAATAAGAATGACGCATTCTAAACCAAAATCAGGATCATTGAACACTAAATAACAATATCTTAAGGATAATTAAACGTTTTTCGAAATAATTGATAGTTAAAAGCAAAACCAAAGTTTTAACAAGCGCAACAAAGTGCTTCGGAAGCGACTGCGCATGCCGAGAGCTCGAGACGCAGTGTTCACCGGCTAATAATGCGCGTGGAGAGAGTGACTGACAGCGAGACAAAATACCGCATTAATCTCAGAGAGAAACCGCACATCTACCGCAGACAACTTGTCTTTTTCTCTCCAAATGCAGTTAACAAACTTTCAGAAGTTCTTGTGACAGGTGGACAGTAGTATAGGCTAGCCTATACGAGAAAAGACAATCATAGAAGGCAAGCAGAAGGAATATAATATTATCACACTAAAGTTAACCTGAAGTACACTGATACACAGTCGTTTATTAAAATAGCCTTGGCTAAAAAGATGCCGACAGACTCACTCACTCACCCTGGCGTATTTCGAGGAGTAGGGGTCCTCAAACAGCGCCCAGACCCAGGGTTGCCAGGTACTCCACCGGCTGGGGTTTCGCCCATCCTCCTGTAGACACAACCTCTTCAAGTCACCGTCCGCTCCTCCAGTTAGCGCCGGGTCGTCCTCTGGTGGGTCCGGCTCGGGCGTCTCGAAGCTGTCCAGCGCTTCCTCGGCGTCCCGATGCTGTCGGTAGTTCATCCAGCAGCAAGCCTCCACGTCCGTCTCGTCGATACCCCAGAAGGCGAGCTCCTCCTCAAACAGAGGACCGCAGACATCACTGGGACAATGCAACTTCCCTGTGCGGTAATAGTTGAGGATGAACGCAAAGGTGTTGGGGTGACGGTCAAAGAAAAACTCGTCGGATTTGGGGTCATAGTCAAAGTTACTGAACGCATCTGGCTCCGTCAGCCAGGACAAGCGGGTCCCGGGCAGCGTCTTCAGTGTGCTGCGGTACGTCTCGTGCCGAATCCCCCCGCAGTTTATCACTATTTTCTCGCTGTCTGACGGACAAGTCATGTCTGCGCTGTAACATGCTTTGTTGGACGACTTGTTCCCACCCTTGCGCCCTTTGAAAGAGGAGACACACACCGAACTGAGCATAGAGGAGCAGGGGGAGGGAGAGGAGGAGAGAGAACCGAGCGGGGAGGGGGAGGAGGAGCCTGCGGAGGGAGAACACAGGAGAACAGAAAATTAAAGATGCTCGTTGTTACAAACATCAAACTGCTCAAAGTAACTTGCTTTTAACTCAACACATCATTAGTTCTCGCATATGGAGCTAAAACTTTGGTCATATCTTTTCTTTCAATAGGTATGTGGGATTTAAAGGGATAGTTCACCTAAAACTGAAAATTCTGCCATCATTTATATACTTATCACCAAAGTATTTTCTTCTTTTGTTGAACACAAAAAGTTATATTAAAAAAATGCTGTAACTATTGACTTTCCTACTATAAAAGTAAATTTGATAACAATGGGGAAAAAAATCTAACCTTCAACCGAGTAAAGAAATTCATAATTGTTGGAATCAATTAAGGGTAGGGCTGGACAATATGGCAAAAATGCAATCGCAATAATTATTTTCATATTGAACAATAATGATATATATTTCATTATCATTTGTTAATGCTTCCAGATTTAAAAAGAGTACCAATGATGAACGAAGCCACGAAAATTAAAGGGGCCATTAAATTAAATAACATAAATTTCTGGTGGCCGAAAAATTGGTCCATCTCTAATATCAACACTTTTTTTCAATTCCCATTGTAGCACATATCTGCTGTGTGATTGGGTCTTAGATCTATATCATTGCAGACTAAAAAAAAAAGTACAGTGCTCATCATTGTCATTGATATAAATCGTATCGCGATTTGATTTAATATCGTTTATTGGCCCATCCCTACGTTGTAAAATCCAAAAAGTTAAGGTAACACAAACTATTTGAGGAAACCGATTGCAACAAACTATTAAAGTTCAAAAACTAATCCCAATGAGTACTGTCAACTTAATCCATTTGAGTAAATGAATCAATTTGAGCACAGTAAAACCCAATAAAGGCGAGGTAGAGGCGCAGTAGGTAGTGCTGTCGCCTCACAGCAAGAAGGTCGCTGGTTCGAACCTCAGCTCAGTTGGCGTTTCTGTATGGAGTTTGCATGTTCTCCCTGCCTTCGAGTGGGTTTTCTCCGGGTGCTCCGGTTTCCCCCACAGTCCAAAGACATGCGGTACAGGTGAATTGGGTAGGCTAAATTGTTCGTAGTGTATGAGTGTGTGTGTGAATGTGTGTGTGGATGTTTCCCCGAGATGGGTTGCAGCTGGAAGGGCATCTGCTGCCTAAAAACTTGCTGGATAAGTTGGCGGTTCATTCTGCTGTGGCGACCCCGGAATAATAAAGGGACTAAGTCGACAAGAAAATGAAAAAACCCAATAAACGAAGAGAACTCAAACCAACTGAGTACTGTAAAACTCAATAAGTTAAGGTAACTCAAACTGTTTGAGGAAACAGATTGCTACAAACCATTTGAGTAAAAAAACTAATCTATACGAGTACTGTGAACTTACTCCATTTAAGTTGAAGTAATGAAGTATTTAATTAACTCATTACCTTCAACACTGAATTCAAAACTCTTTTTAAATGAGTAGAATTAACTTTTAGTAAATTTTGAGTTAACTCCACTCATTTCATTTGATAAAGTTGACTGCTGGGTGTTACAGTGTACTTTAGAGGTAAATTGAGAGTTAATTTTCAAGTTATAGACTTGTGTTATGAACTTTTTTTTTTCTCTGAGAAAAGTAATTAGTTCAAAATTCTGTTAGAATGTATATTGTATTTAAAAATTCCAGTGTGTATTAATGAAATTAATCTGCAAAAAAAGTTTTGGAGAATAAGTATGAATTAGAGGGCTATCACAACAAACCACACAGATGTTAAGTCCAACCCTAAGCAAACACCCAAACAAGCTAATCAAGGTCATATTAGGTATACTTGAAACTTCCAAGAAGTTGTTGTTAGGCAAGTTGGAGCTAGATTCTGCAGATAGTAGCCCTCCGGGACCAATTCTGGTATAAATAATATTATTATTAGTTCCTAAAAAAGTAAAAGAAAAAAAAGAGTACATCTTGCTACATATTAGTGCCTTACATAATAGTACCCATAGCGTATAAAAAGTATAAGTGTACCTCTTGAAATACTTCAGTAACAAAATATGCTCCTTTGATACCAATATAGACAATTTAGGTACAAATGTGTACCTTTGGAAAAGGTATCACCCCATTGACAGCTCTTGTACTTTCATTTCTTACACTGGGTGAATCACAGAATAGTATTGTCTTTTATTCTTAAAAAAAAATAATAATAAATATATATATATATATATATATATATATATATATATATATATATATATATATATATAGATGGCTTTTATATTTTAGGATGGGGGTCTGTCTTACAGGGGAGATCATATTTGTGGCATATAAAAGACTGAAATGTAAAATAATAAAGAAAAAGGAGCACAGGAGTACAGTCTACTCATTAAGCTGGGAAAAGGAAGACACCATAGACACCGTGTCATTTTAGCAGCACAAAATCAGATCAAACGCTGATGCAGGCGTATGAGATGAGCATTTCAATGAAGGACTGAGCTCAATATATACGTTGAAGAGTTACATAATAAACAGGAAAGAGACCCCTCCTCCACTGCAATGCCCACCCATGTCTCCTTCTCTGTCTTTTACCATCACTCAGCCCTCATGCTCCTCAATTCACTAAAACACTCTGCTCAATTACAGCGAAGGGAGATGAAAATGACTGAATGTTTCACAGGCTCCCCCCCTCCTCACACCATGCTCTCGGAGTATCCAATAGAAAGAGGGAGAGGAGGAGAACGAGAGCGAGAGGAAGGGTGGGAAGAAAAGGGAGAAAAGCTAAAAGCAGAACGATTATTTGCTGAGCTACACAAAACAGGGAGAAAAGACTGCAGAGTATTAACTCTTACACTGTCTCTCCCTTTCTGGGCAGTGCTAATGTTATGCAGACTGCTCAGTACAGTCTGTGTAGAGTATTAACCTTTGTTTCAGATGTAAAATTTGCATTGTCTGCATGTGCAGTCTTCAAAATCACAATATATAGATTCAGATAACCTCTCGTGCACATACAATCACACCATGCAGGTGCTTTAAACCTGGACTTACTATTTTTTCTACTTCACAGCTCTAGTGACACAATTGAGCTCCCTTTTACCAATCAAAATGGCCCATTTCGGAAATATGGAGCAGGGAAGCTATTATCCTTCTCTCTTGGGGTCCGTATACACTGTAAAAAAAGTGGAAACGTGCCACCCGTTCCTGCTTTAACCTTTAAAAATGATTTCTGATAGTGTAACCTAGTCATATCGATTCAGTTTTTCAGTGGCTTTTTTTTTAAAGTTACTACATGAAGCAATATTTTTTTATATTGCCTAGCAAAACATTTTTACCAGTGTACAAGGATTAGATTTCACCGACAAATGTCCTCCTCCCATGTTTTGCTGTGCTGTCTCTTCCTGCTTTCACAATGTCTTTCCTTTATCAGCTCCTCTTGTTTGGCTGTGCTGCATGGCTGCTCCATACATATCCGTCAAACTGTCTTACCGCATTAGTTATCCATTCTACTTAGCTCACTCTTTCTCTTGCTTTCCCTTACATCCCACTGTAATTAACTGAGAAACCAACAAAGAACGAAGACTGAATCAGACAAAGCAAGCTAAATGAATTCACCTTCATTCTCTGAATGAAGACAGTCAAGCTGGCCTCTCATTTCAGCACCACGGACAGCGCATGGCTTTCAGCATATGCACTGGATGTACAGTTGAAATAGCAGGCAACTACAGAGGCTTAAACTAACTAATTAACTAGAAAGACCTGTCGTATGATTAATATTAATATAAAGTAACATTAAAAGAAAAAAATCTAGATGTTTTGTCTCTCTCTGGCCAAAACAGCATCACTGGCTACCCGAAAAGTGTTTTTGCAAAGTGTTTCAATATGCCAAACTTGCTGTGGCTGAAGTAAATAACTATGAGGAACACAAAAAGGACTAAATAAATAAAACGATGAATAGGAATTACGGAAACTGAGTGGAAACTAGAGAGGGAATAGTGCTGAGAAAGCACCAAAAAAGCTCTCACTAAAAAGGAAATCATTGTTAAGTGTGTGTGCCTGCATAGGGGGGGAAGTACATTAATGTATGTCCGTTGGGATGGGGGTTGGTTGTAAGGACAGATACGCCTATAAAAGATAACAGCACTATGCCGACAGAGCGAGAAGAGAACAGGTTACAGCCACAGAGAGGAAAGTGAGGGAATGACTGCAGTAAAGGTAAATGAAGCTCCATTCATAAATTATTCAGTTTATAGAAACATTGTCAAAGAGAAGTGATATATACATGCGCTAATATAGGAGAAGGGAACTGTTTCTGCTGCTATGCTTCAGTATGTGCTGTAGTGCTTCTGCATTGTACCTGCGCTCTAACTCCCTTTCCCTCTCTGTCTGGTGCAGTGAAGCTTCTTTGGATTTTTCTACTTGCTATCCCACTGCAGTTGAAGCTCAGCGGTGCTCAAAGGCCACCTAGAGGACTCACTGAGAAACTGCACAACACAAAATACTGCAGTACCCCCTCCTCTATAAGCTTTCTCCCCGACTGAGGTAAGGATGCCTTATGCAAACCATCTGTCAATGCATTGCATGCAGGTTTGTGTCCCATTTCAGCCTGTACATTCGTTTATTGGACAGAAATCACTTAACGAATAGCTGATTTATATGAACTGACCAGGTATTATCGCAACCTCTTGCGGCGCTGCTGGAGCGCAGTGATTGTAAAGCTTTTCGCAATCCTTCTCTCGCTCTCTCTCTCACTTATTTGTGTGCACTAAGCTACTCTCAGTTGAGTTGCTCATATTGATGTCTCTTGTGGAATAGCGCTAAAAGAAAATAAATTAGAAAGGAGGCTTACACACACAAACACGCTTGCAAAAAGGGCCATGTCAAAGCACTAATAATTAGCTCTAAACAACATTATGCTCTGCAGAGACAAAGTTACACAGCATTTGCACATATGAAATATCCCTTAAAGGTAATCAGTAATGCTTTGACCTGTGCTTTGAAACTAATCACAGCTCTGGTTGCGGAGAAGTCCTTTTGAAAGGTCCCACTCTTTATTTTCAGTCACGAAAGCGAGGAGAGATATAGAAAGGGGCTTAGAGGACTCATCTTACAGTGACAGCATTAAGACGTGCATGACTATATTCCCATATCTAGCACTAACAGTGTTCTTAAGATAGTTATAACCCCACTCCCTCCGCCTCCCCACCTCAGCCTCAGCTCTCGTTAAAACCTAATTAATAAAAGTGCCCTCTCCGGTTAATTACCATCCCTTTATAGTCCCCCATTAAGTACTCAGGGAATGAAGCCGGAGAGAGATGGGATATAATTGTGTTAAGCCAAATCACACATGAACTTGATGGAAACTATTCTTGGCGGTGGGAAAGAATGGAGCAGGGTGATGAAAAAACGAGACGGAGGACAGAGAAGGTCATCTCAGGTGATTGGTGAGGGTCATGCTGCCTGGAAAAAGGGGTGTATTTGTGATGATGCAGAATCATGGAAGGGAATCAGCAGGAGGGAGAGTGAATGGTTTGAAATAAGGAGCTGCCAATGGGATGTGAGTGGGTGAAGGAGGGAGAAAGAAAGGGAGGGCCCAGAGGCTGAGAGAAACAAACAGAAAAAGTTGAACTGCTGAAACTGATGAGAAAGTTTACAGGAGGGAAACAAGACTGAAACAAAATATTTAAGAGAGAATTAATACTGAAAACATTGCGTTTAGAATTTAAAAACTTACAAATGGAGTCACAATGGGTTCCATATCAAACAGCGCTAATATTTAAACATATTAAAATGTACATTTTAGAACCTAAAATAGCTTTTTAAATAATTTACTACGTCACGCTCTAAACTTTGGTGAACAGAATCCTGGGTCATTTGATCCTGGATATTTAATTTCATGTTTGAGGTCTAAGCGTCAACTCAAAATTTCATTTGTTTGCATAATTGCTCTAGAATTTTGCATCTTTGCATTAAATATGACAGAGCTTATAGCAATGATTTTTCTTAGACTATTAAATTAGGAATGGAACATTCTCTTCATTCAGATTTTCAACCAGAATGCATTATGTTCTGGTGACTGTTGTTAGGTGCTAACATTCCAGTCATAATATTCTAACACCACTTTGTTTCAAGCTGATTGCACATTTGTCATCATAATGCAGGGTTCAGCAGTTAAAATGGCATTACAAGTGCGATGTTTAACCCTGTGTTAAAAGTACGGCCAAGGACTAAGAACAGGGGCTATGCGCACTCTGAAAAGCTCTAAAGTGTACTTATCAGCAATTAAAATGGCACATATAAGTACCATTTGAAAAAATATTGAAAAGATTTTGCATGTTTTTATAAGTTTTTTCTTGATTGCTTCAGAATTTGACATGAAACTGTAAAAAGGTTAACCTTCCACTAAATTAATGGTCTTAAACTCAATTCCTGAAGAGCCACAGTATAGTTTAGCTTTAACCACCTCAAACTCACACGTGATTAATAGTCCCTAGTAGTCTTTTGAATACCTTGGTTAGTTGGATCAGCTGTGTTTAATTAGGGTTGAAGCAAAATTGTCCCGGAATCGAGTTTGAGACCTATGCACTTAATTTGAATAAGAAATGATATGGGGAATAGGGAGGATGAAGATCCATCCACAGAGTTTGTATTTGCCACAGAAATCCTAGCTATGTTTCACCCACTATTGGTAGGGGGTGATGCCACAAAGAAACATAAAAAAACCTAAATAATAAAAACTGCTTACATAGTAAGAACACTGAGTTCCCTAACATAGTTATCCTCAAATAAACAAGAGGCAGGTAGGTATCTGCTTTAAAATAAAAGAGTGAATAGACAGGTATGAAAATAATGTTGTTTAAGCTAGCATACTGAAAACACATCTACATACATATTCCATCACCTATGTGGGGTGAAAAAAATCAGACACCAATCGTTGTGACGTCAATATATTTTTGTTGCACTGACAACCAACCAATAAAGTAACAAACATGTAATATACGTTTAAAATAATAAGGGGAAAGTAGTCAGTGTGCGAATTACTGAGTCTACTGTCCTGTCGCTTTTTGTACTTTTACACCTTAAGCAGTTATAATCTGCGAGATAAACATCAATAAGACGGTAGCTACAGTACATAGCTATTCACGAACGTCTTTTGGCACATTTTAAGTTGTACTGAAATACTTCATTTACTACTTTTTATTGTGGTAATTAAGGCAGTAAAACAGAGCCCATCAAATTCCTTCCGTAATTCGCACACTAATTTAAGAGGCATAAACAAAGTAGACCTGGCTACTACTTGTTGAATTTGTTGGCTGGCGGAGACAGAGGGTAGTCAGGCCTGCTTTGCATCAGTGCACCGAGTACACAGAAATAAAAACTAAAGAAGTGCTATTTTGTCACTTGTGCACAAGATCACGACACAACACAGCACAAACACCTACAACATCACATAGGCTACTTACTCGCTTTGGGTCTGGCTCTGTTCGCGTGCGTGCAGTGTGCGTGTTGCTGAACACACACACAAGAACGCACACAAACGCTACGTGGAATTTATTATTTTCTGATTGAGCTGAGGGATCCTCGCGGCGTGGTGTCCGAATGACTGTGCAGTATAATTAAACATATGATTCTGTTTTCCTCAAAATGGCTACAGTTATAAATAATGTAAAATAGTCTTGCTACAACACCTGTCGGTTCAAAACGTGCTATAGAGCGTGTTATCTTTAGTTATATGAAATTCTAGTCTGTAATAAATATATAAATATAGCCTATATTGTACCTCTGCTATCCCTTTTTCCTTAAATAAATCATTACCAGTATATACATGAGTGTTACATTGCTATTATCCTATTGAATGTGCCTAATAAAAACACATTTCTGTCATGTCAAGCAATTGTTTTAAATTCCCTAATCCAAACAGATTATCCAAGCAAGCGAAACGAGCAGCGGGGAAACACCTCTCTCTTTCTCTATTTCTTTAATCTTCATGCAGTCACTCCATTAACAGTCTATCCCTTTCTTCTCAGTTTTAGCATCCTTTCCTCCGTATCTTCACCTGTTCCCGTTGTCCAGGGTTAAAAAGACCGTAAGCAGGTCTTTAGTTGCAGACTGAGAGGTCGGTTTGAAATTATTTATGTCGAACAAGCAGCATGCCGGGCACGACTACAAATGTTATTCCTTAAGCTGCCTCTCATTTCTTCGGTTCGTTTCCCCCCTCACCTCTTTCTCTGTCGATGTTTTTGTTTTGTAAATTTGTATTTCCTCACAATTTAGTCCTAATCTAATGGTGACATGGGATCCCTCTGTGTTGTTCCCTCCCTTCAGCTCTTTAAAGGGAAAGGTGGCAGCTGGTGCCCCCTCCCCAAACCCCACCCTGTGCCATTTAACCATATACAAGCCAAGGAACCTGTCGCTATTTAAAGCATTTCGTCCAGGGACACGTTTTTACACTATTATTCTCTTAATTTGTATAAAATTCCTGATAAAAACAACAAATATTACTAAACCAATGACAGCAAAACGATAAAAAGAGAAAACCATACTGACGAACATTAATGAGCAAGTTTACGTCTATGTTGCTAGTTTGCAAATTAGCCAGCTAATCAGCAACAGCATGTGCATATTACATTAGATAGTTAACGTTATACAGGAAGTGGACTGAATGGCGTAGATATATAGATTACTTCCATTAAAATTGTTAAAGACTTGTTAACATGAGTGTGTTGTCTACCTTGGTCAGTTTGTGTGCGCGCGTTTTTTTTCAGGGCTCATAAATTATCTGTAAATCATCTCCGTCCACTCCACACAGACAATAGCCTCTTTCCTATGGGTGATCCAAACAAGACAGTGCAGTCTGTATGTCTGTGAGGGGGGAATAACAGCAAAACTACACCAATTAGGACAAGCAGGGCAGGTGTATTTATGCACAACTAAACAAAAAAAATCAAATAGTGTTAGCATGGCAAAAAAACAAGCAAATACTGAAAACAAAGTAATATTCTGAAGGAACACATCAGCATTTGGAAATAATGTTAATTTAGCTTGCATTACAGATTGATCCTAGATTAGAATATTCATCTTGACTTTTGTAAACAATCATTTCTGCCATCAAATAACCAGAGGACATAAAAGGTCATAGAGCCCAGACTATTGGCCATTCCTTTAACATTTTATCATTTTTTTAAGTCTTAAAAACAGTTTCTCAACCACGTCTCTGCACAATTTCCATGTCTCCCTCACCAAGTACACCTGCTTCAGATCATCAGTAGAGACTGAAAGACCTGTAATGGGTTTGACTGACAAAGGAGACATTTAAAACATGCAGTGTTGGTGGTCGCCCAGGAACGTGGTTGACAAACACTGCTCTAATAGATTAATCCACCTTTATTAGCATAAAAAAACATCTTTGTTTTCACCTTTCCGACAAGTATTATTGATATTACACCCATATATGGTCTTAAGTCAGTCTCTCTCTCCCTCTCTGGCACCCTCCCAGAGACTGAGCTGGGGGAGGAGAGCGAGATGTCGCAAGTGCAAGTAGGTGGAAAATACTAGGTGGGACAAAATTTAGACAAAATTGCAATATTATACTGTATACTCTGTATTTTTTTCCCTCTTCTCATTAACACCCTCTTTGTTTTGTTCTAGGTTTGATTCGTGAGGACAAGAAGTGTAGTGTTTAAGTGCGCACTACTGTGAAATCCTCATGGGTTGTCTAGGTGTGCAGCCAACTGCCTGTTCAGCGATATTTCTGGCTCTCCCAGGCCTTCCCTCTTTACTTTTTTTTTTCCTGAACCCATTTCTGTTAAGTTCCACAGGAGAAAGAACATAGTACAGGTTAAGAAAAACATGAGCACAGAATTTTTTTTTTTATAAATCAAACCTTTATAATAATAATGCTTATTCAAATATTAATTAAAATATTTGGTTATTTTGGTTATTATCTAATTAATATTTGAATATTTTGGTTATTCAAATACTAATCAGAATTTAAAAGGTTAAATTAGGCTGTGACAAAAACAGTATGAAACAAAGTGCTGAGTAAACTATCTCTTTAGGGCAAAAGAATATATACAGAGAGAGAAATATACCCAGAAAAAGGCACATGTTCCAGATCAATAAATCAATAATGTTTCCACCAATCACATCAAACGTGCTTTTGTTATCCATTTATTTCTGAGTGACAAAAGGAAAGAATGGAAATATTGATGAAACCATTTTTTTGAAGTTTGGATCAATTATAACAGATCTGAAAATTAAAGCACCCACACTAATTTGTCTATGTTCTTATACCATAGTCATCTTATTGTTTCCATATGTTTGATTCTCAGTACTGTACATTTTAGGAACACTTAAAATGTCCTGTAACAGACCTCTGCCACCATCTTGCAGATTCACACCATTTTGTGCAACAATAGTGGTTTGAGATGCTGGCGGAGGCACAGGTACAGCAAAACTGTCCATATAGAGACTAGTTTTACCCCTGTGGGGCAAAGGCAAAGGTAGGCGAGGCAGCCGGGGTTGACAAGATAAAGTGGATTCAGCTTTGTGCGCAGGAAGGCGGCTATGAGCTCCACTCTTGGTAAGGGTCCCATTAATAGTAGCTGCATCCAGGACATGATGAGAAGACAAATCTGATCTGAAAAACAGGATTATCAATGACTAAGAAAAAGAAAATGATTAAGTGAGGGGGAAGGAGGCATGAGGCTCTCAGAAAAGTATTAATACTTTGCTAGCATGTACTTGTGCTTTGAGGTCTATTATCTTCCGGGCTTATCTAAGGTATATGCTGACCATTCACTTAGCTCATATATTACTTTGTCGATAGAAACACATTTGGGAGACTGCAGATCCTCTGAGATTAAAGCTCTTCATTCCATAGCATAGGAAACATCTCATATGCCATACCATTGCTCCCTCAATAAAAGAGATAGGACACAGGAAGTGCTTTTAAAGTTCTTAATTATAAAATCAGCAATGCAGATGTACCAGCCTCAAAAAGTATATGCCATGGGAAATTTGCCATATGTTATAGACTGTCATACATAAACTTGCTGTGAAGAGGTGTGAATTAGTGCCGAAACGCATTTGTGACCTTGAGCCGCGCTCACCAATCAAGGTCTGACAAGTTGTAGGAGGCCAGGCCAGAAGGTGAGATGAGCTATGCTTCACTAAATCATTTCAATCTGCTTGTAGCAGGCCAGCATGAATAACTGTCGAATGCAGCAGATGAACCCTAAACCTAAAGATTATTAAAGGAATCATTCACTTAGAAACTATTGTCATGATTTACTCACCCCAAAATGTTCCAAACCTTTATGATTTTCTTTCTCCTGTGTAACAAGACATTTAGAATCTTAACAATAAAATATATGGGGTCTAGAACAACACTAAATATACACACAAAAACAAATCACTGTATTCCACAGAAGAAAGTAAGTCATAGAGGTTTGAACGGACAAAATGGAGAATAAATGATTTCATTTTAAGGTGAACTACACCTCTAAAGATGTGTCTGCATGTTTGATTTTATTAAGATGAAATTTGGATCGAACCCTGATGTGCACCAAAAAAGAGGGTCCCACTTTACATTAAGTGACCTTAACTACTGTGTACTTGCATCAAAAAATAAATACAATGTACTTACTGTGTTGAAAACGTATTGCAGAACACTTCTGGTGCTCTTGAGTTGGGATACAGGTCAGGTTATGAACAGGATTGGTGGTATTTGTGGGTTTAAGGGTGGGTTAAGATATAAGGGATGGTCAACAGCACAATTACAAATGTAGTTACAGAAATTATTAACAAATGTAATTACATACAGGTATTTAATCAAGCATAAGTACAATGTAAAAACATGTATTTACACATTGTAACAAACTGCTAGGCTTGGTGTAAGTACATATTAAATAAGGCCACTTAATATAAAGTGGGACCAAAAAGAGAGATGAGGTTTTGATCAACTCAGGTATTAATGAAAACACACTAAAAAGAAGGCTTGACGTCACAAGATACGACCTTAAAAGGAACAGATTACTCAAGCATGTTTGCTTTTTTATGGGAATGTTGCACATTATAGTTCAATTCATCTGTCAGAAAATGCCTTTCCCTGTTGTGTGACAGAGGAACTCATAGTGCCATTTTGATTCCTTTATACATTTATAACATATACTTTTATATAAATTTTAATTATAAGTTTTATACAAGATTTGCTTTTTAATCTTGAGGCACCTTATTCATTTTTGAATCAGATCTAATGCAAAGCATGTCCCAAACTAATGTATGAACACATCCTAGTGAATGACCAGAGGAATATTCTGATAAGACTCTAATGCCGCAGCCATGCTAGACTTTATGCAGACAATGTTTTAGTTATACAATGTTGGCTCTATGACTACCAATCAAAAGTTGCAACTTTAACTGCACATGATTCAATAATGTCACAATGTGATTCACAGTCATCACCCTTGATGTTCTTGGGACGGAAGATTTGCTCTGAAGGCATTTAGAAAGCGTATTACTCATACATTATATTACCACTGGTATGTTTGGATAGAATTAGATCAGTAAACTCTTTGATCTCAATGATTTCCATCACCACTTTTGAGAAGACACCAGTGCTGACGTCAGATCTCGGAATTACCATTTTCATCCAGCAGCATGTACATACTGCCCTCTTGTGGTGGAGAGTTACCTGTGAAAGTGCTTGAAGTCTGTCTTGGCTGTGCTCTGGACTGGTTCCTGTCTCAGCGCCTGAGCTCTTTCCAGCTGTCTGTACAATGCCTGATTAAAATCAAGAGAAGTGCGAGTCATTCCATCAGCCCAAAAGCTCCAGTGGAGATAAAACTGCTGTCTGCGGAGCAATGCTGAATGAATCTTCATGGCTAAACGAGTCATCTCTTAAGATACTTTGCATGAATTATCATGTTTTAATATTGATATTTGAAACTTCCTTCTCCGCACCATTTTAAATATGCATTTCTATTCACCACTCTCAAAAGAGAAGCACTTGGCTCCTTAAGCCCTCTTATAGTGCAGTTTACCCTTACAGAAATATTCTGGGCTATAAATAGTACCTTACAATTTAGATGCAATTACAAGGTAAAACTGAATGATTTCTTGAGTAAAAGCGCAATGATTTTAATGTAATTAAGTTTTTCTCACAAAGATCTACTAGTCCTCAACACCTAAAATGCATGCAGGTGAAAAGTAAGAAGATAAAAAGAACAAATATGTTTACTTTCTAATGTAGAATTAAAATAGATTACCTTAACGTTATTGGCACCAGCATTTCTTTTTTTTATTTTTATTTTTTACATTGTCAGTCACTTCCAGTATATTTGTTAATTTGCATCTACACTTTACAGCCATCAGAATATTTTCAGCTATGTGCATATGAGAATGTCAACTTTCCCTTAAAGAACAACATTTTATTTTGTCTTTACGTGTTCACGTTTATTACCAATTGAATGCAGGCCGTAGTGAATGAATGTGTGTGTGGCTGATAAGATTGTATGGGTGCTGGGTTGTGGCTGGAAGGGCATCCACTGTATAAAACATATGCCAAATACGTAATTGGTGGTCAATTCCTCTGTGGCGACCCTTGATAAATCAGGGTTTAAAGCTGAAGGTTAATAAGTGAATGCAGATAAGACATTTATATGAGCCATTTTTTTAAATCATAGTGCATTATGTGTGTGTGTGCGTAAAACACATACACCAGTCAAAAATGCTTTAAAATGAGCTTATCCTGCTCACCAAGGCTGCATTTATTTAATCAAAAATACAGTACAGATGTAGAATTGTGAAATGTTATTGCACTATACAATAATGATTCGAAAGTAGTTTATCCTTTAATTTAATCATATATTTCATTGTTTTTAATGATACATTTTCAGCTTCAATACTCCAGTCTTCAGAGTCACATGATCCTTCAGAAATCACTCTAATAATATTATTGTTGTTAATATTATTATTATTAATGGTAATAGTAATAAAAGGAATAATGACTGGAGTAATAATTTCATTTAAAACTACATACAATTAGAAAGCAGTTATTTAACATTTTAATAAATATTTAACAATTATTAAATAAATGGCAGCTTGATGAAAATAAATAAATAAAAATGACCCCAAAACCTGACCGGTAGTGTATACATAATTTTGTCCAAACCATAGTGTGGCAAGGTCTATAATTTTCATCTTTTTCTCACCAGCATCTTGCTATAATGTTCAGCCTGAGGTTCATATGCTGCAGTTTGACCTCTATATCTGTCCTGCATTTCACTGATGTGGTTTGATACTCGCACTGTTGGACGGTCTCGGAGCTGTAGAGAAAAGGAGATAAAAATGGCATAGAGATCCTTTCAAACACACCAGGTCTTTCAAACACACACACACATCTTACCGTCTGGGCCAGTTCATTGAGGAAGTGTGTGGTCCAGTGTGCCGGGGCTTTAGAGTGGATTTCATTGTACAGACGTCCATTTAGTGGCTTTCTGTCATGCTCTGTGTGCGAGGTGAGAGAGAAGTGAGCAGAGGCCGGGACTTTGTTCTGACGCTGGAGGACTGGAGGAAGAGGAGCATCCTGGGACAGTCACAAGATAAAGATTGAAAGAGTAGCATTTTTTATTTCTTCAGTTGTGAACCATCCTAGCAAGATTTTTTAGTTTTTAAAAGATGTTTAATAGATGTCTAAACATAGTCGGCTAAAACAAGACTGAATTTGGGCTGTCAGTGAAAATATAATAGACCAAAGCTAGACTAGTCATCAAATAAACAGAAATGAATCGCGAACGCTCACGCTCAATCTGCCCAGTTGGTGGAATGAACTCCCTAACTGCATCAGAACAGCAGTCACTCGCTATTTTCAAGAAACGACTAAAAACTCAACTATTTAGTCTCCACTTCACTTCCTTATCTGCAATTGCCTCTCTGAATATCACACTAACTGTACCCAAAAACAAAACAAAAAACATACTAATACTACTAATACTTTCATTTGTAAGTCGCTTGGATAAAAGCGTCTGCTAAATGACAAAAAAAAAAAAAAAAGAATGACTACACATATAAAGTCTGTCTAAAGTCTGTCTAATTGGTCTATTCTTAAATGTCTATTCGATTTTCACTGACAGGTTTAGCCTGGTTTTAGCCAAGCTGATGATGTCTTTTAGATGTTTATTAAACACAAAACTGTTTGCTGTGATTAGGCCATACAACAATAAATGTTAAAGATATGTAAAAAGTGGAGTAACTTAGTTTACCTGTGATGTTTCTGAAATTATGAACATTATTTGTCTTTCATAAGCACTAGTGTAGCATTGTGCAGCTAAACTCTAATTAACAAGAAAAGCAAATATAGTATGGCTTAATTATTGCTTTAAATGTTAACATAGCCATTATTAGTGACCTAAACACGTTCTTTTAAATTAAGTTTCAATTTTGGCAGAAGCAGCAAACAGCTAAACTGTAATAACAATTGTAACTGTGGTTACTAATGTTTTGTTGAAGGGGAAATTGAAGAAATTAATATATCTAACGTTACAGCAAATAAACATAACTTAGTTTGATGTAACATTAATGCGTTCTTAACGTACCTTGCAAGTTTTTAAAGAGAACGGGGGTAGCTGCCAATACACGTGTCCAATGGCGGTGCTAGTGTGAACCTTTGGTTTGTTGCTATCCATTAGTTTAATGCACTCAGTAAACTCAAAATAAACAACCAAACATAAATAGAAACTCCTGCCCGTCGAAAATTATACAAGTGACGCTAACGCATTACTGATAGCAGTCGGTCTCTGCAAGCGCTGTCGGCGGTCTACCTCCATAGGAATGTTTACAAGTAACTGTTGCTATAGAAACGTATCTGCATCGAGTTCTCTCGCGCGATGAATGAACGGTACAAATATTAGTATATTCTGTTACTAGACTTCCTCCTTAAAAGGCTCATAGAATGTTTATTTCCACTTAAAATCATTTAAAATGACTTTGTCATTTCAATTTAATCCTTTAAATCATTAAAGCTAAAATAAAAAAAAATACTTCCAAAATCTGACACCACACAACAAAATATCTGTCCAACAACATGATGACCTTTTAAGATTTTTTTTTTTTTTTTTGTAATTTTGATATTCAAGAAAATTAATTTCTCATAAACCTTTATACAAAACCAATTCTAACACAGATTAATACAAAAGGAATGGTCTTTTAAGTAAAATTGAATATTAGCAAAGACTTGCTGATGAGTGAATGTGGACAATCTTGATATGTCAAAATGCAGAAATTATAAAATATAATCAATTTAATTTACAATTATCTAACACTAGCATCTTAGATTCCTATATTTTTGCTATTTACATCATGTCTCACTGCTCCTTTGTTTATTCGGATTGCTTCAGTTGTCTGAGTTAAGAAACAAGGATTCATCTTTTTTGTCAACACTGCTTTTACTAACACTATATTTTCCATCTTTATTAAAAAGCATTTAACACCAACACATATCTATTCACCGTTCTTATACATTTATAAACAAAGTCTTGAACTTTTATCCTACATTTCGCTTCCTTTCTTGCTTGATCACTTCCTATTATTCTTGTTTGCAAGAAAAAAACACAAATATCAAGCAATTTAATGCGAAGTAAGCATCCTATATATTTTCATTAGTCCCTCTCATTATGTTGTTTCACAGTGTACGTGATTGGTTATTACTGTAAACATTTAAAACACTAACACCGGACAATTAAATGACATTGTCAGTTTTAATGTATGAATAAATATAGAAATAAACTCAAAAATTCAAGCATTGAACATAGGCACTATGATTGGCAGCGCAAAGCCACTCATAGCAGCACAAGTTTCATGATGAGCGTACGCGAGTATGGCGTGCTGAGTACAGAGCAGTCTGTTCATGCTTAGTACAGAGCGATCGGCTCATTCAGGAAGTGTCTTTTGCAATTAAAATGCTTGCATACTCCTGTAGTAGAGCATAAATACGCACATACTCTAATTGGGATGCATAGCTGTAACACTATTGTTAATGTATGTTTTCTGAAACACAGACTCTGTAAGTGAATGAATGAATGAATGAATGATGGTCTAGGTAGGATCCATCATGCCAATCAGATCATCAATAACCCTACGGTAAAGACACAAAGTCCTACAATTACATATATTATGTGCTATTTGCACTATCCAGCCAATTTTAAAGCTTTTTTTCTGTGCTAAAAGACACACAAACAACTCTCCAGCGTATCAAAGGTCGGAGGTTCCACAGAAGAACACAACAGAAAAATCAGACTCAAGACAGACCAGATATGCACTATGCAGTCTCTTCCTCCGCATGGTTGGGACAAAAAGAGTATATTTGAGGTCTACATGTTTTGAGATCGTTCCACTAACATATAAATATCTAAGGGTAGTCTACACTGATCTCCTCTGGGTTTCTGACATCCTACAGGAGCTGAAAGGATGGGAGAAAGGATCAGTAGGCCAGTCGAAAGGTAGGTTTGGTTAACCCCTGGACTCCAAAGACCTGTGGGTGAAAAGAGAACAGTGGGGAAATTATCAAAACAATACACATGCATATTTCAATAGCTTATACCACATTTCATTACAAAAGACAATGATTTCATTCATTTCAATAGGCAATTAGTTTTTTATACTGAATAGCATGCACAGAGTTTATTTTAATTACAAAAATGAAAAATAATGTTTCATTTTCATCAAAAATAAGTTTATAAGCTTATAAGTTTGAGGTTGTTAATTGTTTTTCCTAAAATAAGCTTATTTAGTAAAGATGCAGGACCTTGTATAATAAATCAAAAGTGAGAGTAAAAACATTTGTTATAACGAATTAGTTAATTCCTATTTTATATTTGCTCTTAATATTCTTAGAAACATGTAAACAAAAGCAGCAAAATCATTTATTTGGCCAAAAAAAGTGAAAAGGGTAAACTGAAATAAAATAAAATAAAATAAAACCTTTTTATTTCAATTAGTTTTCAAAAGTTCTCTTTCTAATAGGAATTATAAATACTTTTTCTAAAAACTACAGTCAGACATGTCCTAATTAAACTTTCCAATAAAATATAAAAGTAAAAAATATTTAAATTAAAAAAAGAAACTACAATAGTATCAATCACACTAAATGCAGTTTTAAACACTGGACATGTTTCTTGAGCTCATCAAGATATTACAATGATATATAAAGTAATGATACTGCAAAATCAGCTTTGTCAGGAAAATATAAATATTAAAATAAAAAGTTTCTTTAAAAAGCAATCTTTAACATCATTATTCTTCTACTATTTGTCTTTAATAAAGGCCCAATCCCAATTCAGTTTTTTTTTATCTCTACCCCTTGGCCCTTGAAATATAGTATGAAGGGGAAGAGCTTCAAATTTTATCCCTATGAATTGGGACGGCACTACATCACCAGCACACATCATCATGTCATCGTGATCTCTTACTTCATATGAGATCAGACGATCATAGTGACTGCTGTAGTTATTCCAGTTGTGCTATTCTTTGGTATTTATCTTCAGGAAATCACTGAAGGCATATCATGTTATCATAACGATATAATGTGGCAATAAGATTGTAACTATACTGTGCATTTACACCGTGACCATATTCATCTATACAAAAACTACATTACAGCAGAGTGTCATCGAGTGTCAGACGTGAAAGCATGTTGTGGGACTACTACACAGGAGTGATTATTAGGAATTATAGTAGATTTATTACTATTTAAAATGATTTTTTAAACATGAGGTGAAACACAAACATTATTAATGTATTAAAACATGTGCTTGTTTGTTGTAAAATTTATAATAATGACAAAACAAATTCCATTCACAGCCATGCTGCTGGTGTGGCCTGTGTATTCTGGAAAATTTTCGTACCCCATGCATTGAAAACTCTAATAAGTTGACTGAGCTAAATTAATTTAGTAAACTTGTTGCCTCAATTTATTTGAGTAATGGAGTCTCCCAAAACTTGCATGTATGAGTTTATTTAACTTGCCGGTTTTGTAGATTGTACTTAAATTGTTCAGTTCACCAAACTTTGTACTTAAGTAGATTATACTTGAATTGTTTAGTTCACCAAACTTAGTGCTAAGTTTGGCAAACTGAATAAGGAAGCCCTTAGGCTGATCTTAAAGGCAAGGTTTACCAACTAGGACTTCACAATACAAACAGGCTGTTTCTCAATTCCAAGAACACAGAGAACGGACTTGCATTCTTGTGGAGACCGGTCTTGCCAGGTGTCCTCGGAAGAACGAACTCAGGAGACCGCGATGGCAGAGAACGCGTCCTTTGAGAAATGAAATGCTGCGTTCTTCCTGATGGTCACGTGACCTTCGCACGTTTTAAATGGAAATTATTTAAGCATTACAGAACTCATACAACGATTTATTGTTTTTCCCCTCTTCAAAATATATACTTTGCATAAAAACATTATAAATATACCCTGCACAATATAAATAAAACTAATTTTAATACGAATTTCAGCAAACAAACACCCTTAATGTGTTTATTCCTTTATTAATATGTTCATGTTAATGTTTACTTTCACCGTTTCATTTAGGGAAACCCCTAAGGTAAATAAGTGATATCTCTGAACTTTAATAATAAATCTAAATAAAATGCTGCGCTTCCCATCTCCAGTCGCAATGACTTCTGGGACTTCCAGAGCGAGTTCGGTGCTCAAGTCTGCATCAGTATCCTCGATATCAAGAACACATCCGGGAAGTTTCACACTATTTTTTTCTCTCGAAAGGACATAACTACATAAGTTAAATTAACTTATATTTTTAAGTGATACCACCAAAATGCAAAATTTTAAGTTATGTTTAGTCAACTTTACTTAATTGTTTAAGTAAAGACAACATTAGGGTTTTCAGTGTGGCTTCGAGTGTGGTCCTAAAAAATCTCAGTTTCAAGGACCGTCTAGCCCTTCCACTTAGCCCTTCACCTTCAAGCTAAATAGAACTGGGACACCCCTATCTCTTCATGCGAACGGAGGGATAAGAGGAAGGGCTAAGTGGTAGAATTGGAATTGGGCCTATAAAAAAATGCACATTTTGCCTCAACAAAAAAAGAACAAATGTCTTCAGCAACTGATCAGAAAAACGAGTCAGGGGAAAGTCCCACTCACGAGTAGCTGGTGTGTTGCTGGCGTCTTCTGGCACTTCTCATCTTCTCAAACCTGGCCTCCATCTCTTCTAGGACTTTGGGGGTGTAACGCACCACCAGCTTCACTGAGCCCTGCGCAGCCTTCAACAGCTCTACAGCTTTCTCGTGGTGTTCACCTTCAACACTCTACACACAATCGACAAACAAAGACCATTTGCAAGTCTACAAACTCACTTTCATTCTCTCTTTGTTTGGTGTAGCTCAACAAGAATAAAAAACAACTTTTGTTTTGCACTTGTTTTAAGTACCAATTCCTACTAATAACTTTTAACCTACTACTGGCCTGTTACTAAGATATTGACTGTTTGTTTGTACTTCTACAAGCCCAAACCTACCCAATACTCATTTTAATATTAACCTAATTATTAATAAGCACAAACTAGTAGTTAATTTAGCTAAAAGTATTAGTTAAAGGAAATCTCCACTTTTATTTAACAAGTTACCAAGTGTTTAACAGTTGAGTTTTACTATTTTTTTTTATTCATTCAGCAAATCTCCGGGTTTGGTGGAAGCACTTTAAGCTTTGAATAAATCATTGAATCAGATTAGAGATTAGCAGCATGCTAAAGTAAAATAAAATGCAATCAATAATTTAAAAACAACATTAAATCCTAGTACACTTAGCATTTACACTGTTTACACTTTTTAAAAACCGAATCTAAAGATATATATATATACACACAAACAGCTTTTGATCTGTATTTACAGAACAAACTGAATTTTAAAAAACAATGTTTTATACTGGGCTGAAAGCGATGTGCGTATGTGTGTTTACGTGATTATATTTTTAACAGTTATATCATTAGTTACTGATAAACAATAACTTGTAAATTATCAGGGTTTCTACAGGTTTCTTCAATTTAAATTTAAGACTTCAAGATCTGGTCACTACTGTAAATAGTTTTTGTATCAATGGAAGTTCATGTAAAGCAATGTTTCTCAACCATGTTCCTAAAGAACCATGAACACTGCAGATTTTGGATGTCTCCTTTGTCAAACCCATTACAGGTCTTTCAGTCTCTGATAATGAGCTGATAATCTGAATCAGATATGTTTGGTTAAGGAGACATGAAAAATGTGCAGAGCTGGTGGTCCTCCAGGAACGTGGTTTAGAAACACTGATGTAAAGGAATGTGTTGTTTAGTTTTCTGTCCCTGATTAAGGTATGTAATTTGGAGGATTTGCTGTAAAATGTCTAACAGCTGTTGTGAATTGTGTCTCTTTGCAATAAAAAAACTTTATTTACTTGGACATAGGAAAATGAATATTTGTTTAAAATTATTTAAGACCTACAACACAATATTTCAGTGAATTTACGATTTTTTAGGGTCTAAAATTTTGTTTCTGAAATTGTAGCCTTTTTAAGACCCGACTGACTCCCTGATTATAACATATAAATAAACAAAAAGTAAAAAAATAAAATAAAATAAAGCAGCACAAGATGATCGTTTTTCCTCTTTCAACACTTCTCTCCCACCTGATTACAGTTAGAAAACCTCTTTTCCAAATCAGAGGTAAAACAAGGGAGCTTCATGACAGTTGAAAAATCAAGGCCATGGTCTCTTACAAAAATCTAACGGCTAAATTATACATCTCAAAATGGTACTATGCCAACATACCACTCCATTAACAGAAAGCAGTTGATCTCCTCTCTTCAGGCCACCCTGTCGGTCAGCAACACCCCCTGGAATGACCCTAGAGATGTAGATGGGAGAGTTTTGTTCTTTTCCCCCCATGATGTTGAACCCAAGCCCTTCATCTGTTTTAGGGAGTTCAACAACTCTCGGGTGTGCATGACCTTCACTGGCGGCGAACGCTGCTACTGTTGCCTGAAAGAAGAGACCAGAAATTAGTTATGACATCTATGAACTTTCTAGTTTAACAGTTTTTTTTTTTGTTTGTTTGTGTTTTAAGTAAAAAGTTACCTTGGCAGTGGCTTGAGCTCGAACCTCAGGCCCACCTATAATATCCAACGTATCGTAAAGTTGCTCGTAGACCTATAAAAAAAAAAGAATGGGCCTGGATATTGAACAACATAAATGGAGTTTATAGTGAGATTAAAGCATTTCCTATACATATATAACAAACATTTTTACACTAAATACGTCTTTGCTCACTGTTAATTCATTTATGTTTATTCAGATAAAAGAAATATCCTACAATTCTGGCTCAGTTCATATTTAAATGTGCACACGTAATGGACAATGCACACATTAAAGTGTTGACATAAAAATGAAAATTATCTTATTAATTACTCACCCTCATGTCATTGCAAAGCCCTGAGGCCTTTATTCTTCTTCACAATAAAAATAAAGATATTTTATGTGAAAAGGTACATGTTGTGAATGCGCAATATACTGACACTGAGAAGAAACGGGTAAATTAAGTCGTTATTTTTTTTTTATGTGCGCACAAAAGTATATTTATAGCAGATAATATTATGATTGAACCACTGAAGGCAAATAGTCTGTTTTGAGAAAGTTTTTTGTTATTTTTCTGGAACGTTGCGTTCTATGGAGGATGAGAGAGCTCTCAGATTTCTTAAAAAATATCTTAACTTGTGTGCAGATGATGAACAAAGGTGTAAAAAGTTTGAAATGACATGAGTGCGAATAATTAATAACAAAATTTTCATTTTTTGGTGACGTAACCCTTTAATAGTTTACACATTTAAAGGGATAATTCACTCAAATAGAAATTCTTTCATTTACTCATCCTGTGCTTGATCCAAACATTTAAAGTTATCTATTTCTCAACCACATTCCTGGAGCACCACCAACACTACATGTTTTGGATGTCTCCTTTGTCTGCCACACCCATTACAGGTCTTTCAGTCTCTACTAGTGAGCTGATGATCTGAATCAGGTGTGTTTGGTTGAGAAGACATGGAAATGTGCAGAACTGGTGGTCCTCTAGGAACGTGGATGCGAAACACTGACTTATAATACTTCTATAGTATGTTTTCCCAACTATGAAATACCTACAATAAACAGTTTTTAATTTCTTCTTTTGTGTTCAGAAGTGAGAAACTCAGATTTGAAACAAGCAGAGGATTAGTTAAGGGATGACAGAATTTTCATTTAGGGGTGAACTGTCAGCTATGACATTTGCTATTGACTTTATTTGATGGAATAATTTACAAATCAGCAAATATTGCAAAATAATACCTTAACATAACACAAGACCTTCATGCTATACAGTGGGATCTTGATCACTATCTGATGGTTTATTTAGTGAATTTGACAATGTGATCAGTGGCTTTTATCACCATAAACAAGTGAACATGCAGTGCATCCGGAAAGAATTCATAGCGCTTTAGCTTGTCATGTTACAGCCTCATTCCAAAATAGATTAAAGTAATTTATTTCCTCAAAATCCTACACCAAATACCCCAAAATTACGATGTGAAAAAACATTTTGAAGTTGTTGCAAATTTATTAAAAATATAAAACTTGAAAAATCACATGTACATTAGTATATACAGCCTTTGCAGTGAAGCTCTAAATTGAGCTCAGGTACATTCTGTTTCCACTGATCATTCTTGAGATGTTTCAACAGTTTTATTGGAGTTCACCTGTGGTATATTCAGTTGATTGGACATGATTTGAAAAGGCATACACATATAAGTCTACATAAGGTCCCAAGGTTGACAGTGCATGTCAAAGCACAAACCAAGCATGAAGACAAAGGAATTGTCTGTAGACCTCCGAGACAGGATTGTCTCGAGGCGCAAGGCTGGGGAAAGTTATAGAAAAATTTCTGGTGCTCTGAAAATTCCAATGTGCACAGGGGCCTCCATCATCTGTTAGCGGAAGAGGTTTAAAACCACCAGGATTCTTCCTAGAGCTGGCTGGCCATCTAAGCCGAGTTATCGGAGGAGAAGGGCCATAGGGAGGTGAACAATAACCAGAAGGTCACTCTGTCTGAGCTCCAGCGTTCTTTTGTGGAGAGAGGTAAAACTTACAGAAGGACAACCATCTGTGCAGCAATCCACCAATCAGACCTGTATAGTAGAGTGGCCACATTGAAGCCACATCCCGTCTGGAATTTGCCAAAAGGCATCTGAAGGACTCTCAGATTTTCTAAGAAACATAATTCTCTGGTGTGATAAGACAAACATTTAACTCTTTGGAGTGAATGCCAGGCGTTATGTTAGGAGAAAACCAGGCATTGCTCATCACCAGGCTAAAACCATCCCTACGGTGAAGCATGGTGGTGGCAGAATCATGCTGTGGGGACGTTTTTCAGCAGGAGGAACTGGAAGACTAGTCAGGATAGAGGGAAAGATGAATGCAGCAATGTACAGAGACATCCTGAATGAAAACCTGCTACAGAGTGCTCTTGACCTCAGGCTGGGGCGACAGTTCATCTTCCAGCAAGACAATGACCCAAAGCACAACGCCAAAATATCAATAGAGTGTCTTCTTAACAACTCTGTGAATGTCCTTGAGTGGCCCAGCCAGAGCCCAGACCTAAATCCTATTGAACATCTCTAGAGAGATCTGAAAATGGCTGCACAACGTCGCTTACCATAAATTCTGATAGAGCTTGAGAGTTACTGCAAAGAGGAATGGGTAAAAGTTCCCAAAGACAGGTGTGCCAAGCTTGTGGCATCATATTCAAAAAGACTTAAAGCTGTAATTGCTGCCAAAGGTGCATCAACAAAATATTGAGCAGAGGCTGTGAATACTGATGTACATGTGATTTTCAGTTTTTTTTTTTCACATTTTCAACAATTAAAAAAAGAAGAAGCTTTTTTCGCATTGCCATTAAAGGGTATTGTGTGTAGAATGTTGAGGAAAAAACAAATTTAATCCATTTTGGAATAAGGCTATAACATAAAAAATGTGGGAAAAGTGAAGCGCTGTGAATACTTTCTAGATGCACAGTTAAATAGATATCAGTTCTGATTGACAGAGACTGAGATGTGCTTAATTTTACAATATGGAAAATAACAAAATCAATTACTAAAGTTCAACAAAAACTGATCATTCAATATAGACTCAAGAGGATTGTAAATATTTCACTGACAATTTCTTTTTAGCTGATCTGATATCAATTTCAATATACTCTCCACAAGGATCTCAGTTCATTTAACTTCTGTGATTAAAACAGATAATATTGGTCATGTTTTAAAATGTTATCATTACTTTTCCCATGCAGACGCCAACACGCCAATAATGTCAGCCACGTGGAGAGAAGGACACCTGATGGATATGTGAAAACTGATTTAGTGTGACAAGACTACGTAATTGTAAAAGAATGTGTTTGACTCTTGTGAATGAGAAGTGAACAGACTGGGCTCTTGCTACTGGAACCCATTATCACAAGTCAAGGAGTGAGACAATAAAGCTGAAGTGAGATGCCATCTCAAAGAGGCAGGAAAGTGAGTCATTCAGGAGGAGGAACAGTGGAATGCAGTTCTGCCTGAGAGAAGAAATAAATACTCATGTGGAGGAGGAAAAGGACAGTGCAGTCTTATGTGATACGCATTTCAAACCTCAACTGTATACCTAGTTACATATATCCAATTAGTGTTCTGTGAAATCAATACAAGAAAAAGGAAGGAATTATTACATTTTTCACAATTGAGCGACGCTCTAATTAGAAGCACAAGGATGAGTTATTACTAGAGTCAAGCATCCTTACGTTTGAAGGACAGAAGAAAGATTTTACCTCTCTGATGGCAGCACAGAATTTGCTCTGAAGGACTCTCTGGAGAGCCTGGAGTTTGGGAGGAGGAAGCTGACCGCTTCTTTGCAGTCTGTCCAACAATTCAATCACTCTGCAGACATCTGCAGGAGAAGTCAATATTATAGAAATATATAGATCAAAGACATGTTTGTGTCTGCAGCAAACGAAACAAATAAAAGTATATTATACACATAGAAAGCTTATCCAACTTTAATTTTCCAAATAATGTGAAAAAAATAAATGGTTACTTTCATTCCCAATAAAATAAATAACTGTAAATTAAACCATTATTTTTGCACAAACAGAAAGGAAGATATTATTCTAGATTTGTTTAAATTATTATAAAGTTCGGGGACACACAGTGAGTAGCTCTGTCACCTCACAGCAAGAAGGTCGCTGGTTAAAGCCTATGCTTGGTCAGTTGGCTTTTCTCTGTGGAGTTTGCATGTTTTCCCTGTGATGGCGTGGGTGTTCTCCGGGTGCTGTGGCTTCCCAGACAGACCAAAGACATGCGCTATAGGTGAATTGGGTAAGCTGACTTGACTAGTCTGTGTGTGAATGGGTGTATGGGTGTTTCGCAGTGATGGGTTGCAGCTGAAAGGGCATCTGCTGCGTAGAACATATGCTGTATAAGTTGGCAGTTTATACTAATGTGGCGACTCCTGATTAATACCAGTCTTATAGGGATAGTTCACCCAAAGTCAAATGTTATGCGTTTCCAACATTCCTCAAAATACTACCTTTGGGTTCAACAAAAGTCAAAGAAACTCATAAAAGTTTAACCACTTGAGGGTTATGGAGTAAAAAATTTTTTCAAATTATTGTAAAGTTCAGTGTGCATTTTCTGTACATCATTGTACAAAATACAAACGGTTTCCCGAAAAAAAAACAAAAAAAAACATTTGGATTTCTTTATATTTAAGCAAAATATTTATAACACAATCTCGACAGTTAAAATGTTTTGATAGAACAAATTTTCTGTCCAATACTGTCAAATATTTTAAGTTTATCAGGAATGCAAAGCCAACTATCAGTGTTTTACAAGTGCCTTAAAAAATCAGAAACACCCAATAACCTGCTGTATCTATTAAGCTTTCAGTCCAAATCATCCACCAGTGATACAAAATAAGCCCGTGTATATAAAAATAGCATTCTGTCTTAAACACCCACATAGCCTTGTTTTGTTTGTCTTTTTATTATTATTCAATGAATTCTAAGCCTTACACAAACACTAGCACACCCTACTGTGGGGTGAGGGGGGCAAACATCCATTCATTCAGATTATGGAGACTGTGCGCCTCTCAGTGGTCACTGCTGCTGCTTGTTTAACAAACACAAGAACCAGCGAGTGCGTTAGCAACGCTATCAGCTTTAATATTTGCACAACGCCACTCTCCGTGGCTTGCACACAACAATGAGAACGGAGTAAATTACCTCTTTCCAAGCACAGCGGTTCTGTCATCGCCGCCATGTCCACCTCTTTCCCCGTATGATAATACGATGACATCATGAAGACTGCTGCAGTGGAGGACTGAACCGCTTTCAGCGACGTTATACCAAATTAATATTTCAAAACAAAATTTGAGATGAGCTTTAAGTATGTAAAAACAATATTGAAGGCGCAGACGATCCAGCTCTGATGGCGAGATGCGCGGGTCTGAGCGCTCGTACAGAGCGGCAGCTTACTGGATGACGCAAGACCACACGTCACAGGCGCGAGTTCAAGTCGTTTTGCAACCCACAAGCTCGTTTAACACCGTAAGATTTAAATAAATAACCAAAACACTACTTCGGCAATAAAAAAGTATTTATTCAAGAATTTAAAGCAGAACAAATACGACCAGATACAAACTGAAAAAACCTATACATAAAATTAAGAGCAATTTCTGTGAGACCATGGCAGACATTCCCATTTAAAAGCAGGTGTCATATTTTCTGCCTTTGTTCCTGCTGTAAAATAAGGGGCAACTGTACGATTTGTAAACGATCCATGTACAGGACCAAATATGAAACAAAATGTACATGATGAAAATAAAGTAGCAGAGAAATTAAAGGGAAGACCAATACAAAAAGAATGTTACAGATAAATGTACTAACCCATGAAACGTTACTATTGTACTCCGCAAACATCTATGAAAATGGACATAACAGTACTAAAACAACCCCAATAACTCCAACAAACAAATACTTATCTTTGACTGAAACTACACTGTATTATAATACAGTGCTTCAGTCAAGAAATCCCCTCCCAGTTATGGTCATTTGATATCAAAATAATGTTAGACAGGGAATTCAAATGCATCATTAAGCTAATTATTTACTGTAGTCCAAGCCCCAGAAATAGGTTTACCAGAGCTAAAAACATAAAAAAGCTCACAGTTTAGCTACATAATGTTTATTTTAACAATAGGACGCTTCTTACCAGGGAGACACTAAGCTCTCTCAGTGACAGCTGTTATTAGTACAGTATAATACTCACACGCTGTGGACAGTGCAAGCAAAGGGTGGAGGCATTAAATAATGGTTGAAGATATTTGTGGATCAAATCAACATTACATCTAGATAACCTACAATCATTCACACAACGATGGCACTTTTAGTACTCATCACCCTGGGCCTCCATCCTGTACCCATTTTCATTGGAGGCATAGCCCTCTCCCGACTGCATGGAATCCTGATCCATCATCATCATCCTCATCCCATCCTGTGAACCTTCTTCTGATTGCGGTGGCACTGGCTCTTCACCTTCTTCACCTCCATTACCCAAACCCTCATGATCTCCGGAGGAGGTAATGTGTCGATCTTCCCTTCGCTCCCCACGGTCCCGATCTCCACGGTCTCGCTTATGGTCACGATCTCTATCCCTGTCCCGCCTTCTGTCCCGATCCCTTTCTCTATCTTTATCTCGATGGCTGCGCTTCCTATCACGATCTCTTTCCCTGTCTTTGTCTCGATCCCTCCCCCTTTCCTCTCCTTCAGGTCCTCCCTCCTCACCTCGCCCTGGTTCACCACCCAAGGGGTCCTCTATGCCCCTATCTCCCCCTTCAGGCATCATGCCATCAACTAGCCCGCCCATGCCTTCCTCCCCTCCTTCTGCACCTTTTCCTCTTTCCCTGTCTCTCTTCCTATCCCTGCTCCTGCTCCTTCTCTTGCGGTCTCTATCTCGATCCCGGTCTCTACTCCTCTCTCTGCTTTCTCCAGCTCCAGCACCACCTCGTTCTCTTTCCCTCTCTCGTCGTCGGCTGCTGCCCCCAGCCTCATCCCCTGCAGCGGCCCTCTCACGCTCATGAGACCTAGTGTGCCTGCGTCTCTCTCTGGACCGAGAACGTCTGCGTTCTCCACGTTCCTTGTCTCGATCACGTTCCCGACTGCGTTCACGGCGTTCACCACGATCCCGATCGCGATCACTGCAAAATAAGACAGAGGTAAGGCCGCGTAAGTTCAGAAGATGAAAAAGCACCAACTAAAATTCTAACCGCCTCTCACACAGCGTACCTTCCAATTGGTCGGTCATCATAACGAGATGTGTCGTCTCTGCCAGAGTGCTTGATGTTGACATCTGCGCCTCCTCGCCTTGTGCCACCAAGACCCCCACCTGGAGAGTGAAGAAAAGAAATTTGGTTCAAGTAGAAAGTTTTGGGACCCAAAGGCCATGCTTGGGATAGGCAAGGTCCTCGAAGCCCACTGATAATACCCATGCAATAATATTGTTCAAAAGATCAAAGATGGAGCTGAACTCTGCAGGACAGTAGACCTTGAGCCAGATTTTGCCTGCCTTGATTTATCAAACCTATTTGCTACAAGATTAGCGGTCATTCTTGCTTTTGGTAGAGAATGATTCACTTGAAACTAAAAACCTCAAAGAAAGCTCTTTGAGGCATACTAAAGCCATTCCTAACCAAACTACAGAAGCCAACATTTAAAGGCGTTAAAAACCCATTTTTCAATAGTTTAGGACCAAAGTCGTCCTAAACTATTGAACAACATCCATTCTTGTCTTGGGACATTTTAGAAAAACTGAATCAAATGTTTTCAATACTTCAAACTGGACCTCCAGGCCTAGAAACAAACATGTGACAAGAGTGGGGGGAAAATAGAAATGCTTACCAAGTCGCCGGGGGCGCCATCCTTTTACCGTTCGTCCTCTTTCAACATCAACAAGCACTCTACGACCATCGATCTTTTTGCCATCCGCATGCTTATAAGCAGCTAGAAGAGTTGATAGATGAGCAATAGAAAAGTGGAGATTGAGAGGAAGGGAATAAAGGGGAGCACAGAGGGAAAAAAAGACACAGACAATGAGAACCATGAAGACACAGAACAGTATTTGCTACTACATACCTTGAATTTGGGATGAACTCCATTCAAAACATTAATCTATCAGAAGTCACACGCTTACCTCCAAATGGATAAGACACCAGGAATGATAAACTGACAATGCTGCCATCCATTTTATACATTTCCTCTACCTCAGTGATTACCTTCAACACCATTACCTTGATGATTAGATGCTTCTATTCACTTTAACCCATAATTATAAATAAATAAGTAAATAAATAAAAAGTAACCTACGTTTAATGAATAGATGCATATTGTTTTTAAGATCTTCCAGAGTGCACACATTGGGAAAAAAATTCTGTTAATAATTTTAAATGACTACTATACAAATTATAACTGAGGCAGCTCTAATGCAGTGCAGGAGAAATCCCAAAAATCAGCAAGCTCTGTTCTGAACAGCTTCGGATCACTTAAGTCATTTTAATTTCTATAATATCTTTGAGTGATCCACACTGACATTTTTGTTGTCATTAAATCACTAATAATAGCATCTTTAAAAAAGGCACTTGGTGAACACATCTTGCATTAAAAAGCAAACTTCTCATCCTCAAATGTCTTCAAAACATTCATTCACATTCAAACTGAATTTGAGCATTAAAAGCACCATTCACACTCACGCCACACCACTCCACACCGCACCACACGGGAAAAAAACATTTAGCAAAGCTTTACTTCTAGCAATTGCATTATTTATAATACAAAGAAGCTAGAAGCACCACTTTTAAAGTTACAGACTTCTGACATACTTCAGTATGGCCAATAAGCTTTCTCCTTCTGCTGATCTGAAATAAGTCTAAGACCTTAAATATCTAGGCCCTTAGTAATTAGTCATTATCCAAGTTATACCACATTACCTGGAGTTGCTATCTTACCATAACACCTGGCCAAGGATGGAAGTCCTTGATGAAAAACCCCACGAAACGTAGCCTGTCGATCCCAGCAGCCTCGAATCAAAATGTTCTTCAATATATTTGAAACTGTGATCCAATTTTTTATTTTTATTTACTAAAACGGGACAAGCTTGAACTCTTAGAATTAGGGATCCAATCCTTCAACAATGGAAAATCCACGAAGCTACTCCTGTCTGCACTGTCGATGAAGTTCAGATGGAACCCATCGTGAGGGCCTTACCATGAAACCCTTCAGTACTTTCACACATACCTGCCCTGACGTCAACAAGAGGGCCTTACCAACAACCCTCAGACTACCATACCAAACTAGAGGGGCTTACCAAACACCCTCAGCGCACCTACCCACAAGAGGGGCTTACCATTCACCCTCATTTAAATCAGTTAACAGAGGGCCTTACCACAACCCTCAACTAGCTGTCCCAAAAGAGGGGCTTACCAACCACCCTCATATCCAAAAAATAAAAAATAAAAAAAATAAAAAACTCAAAACAGTTTCCAGGTTAAATTCTTTTCAAATCTATGGGGCCTTGCCAGTGACAATTTAAGCAATCTTAAAATATTTTATTTAACGCATTTTTTTTTAGAAATGGTAAGTTAAGGCAAGTAAAAAAAGTCCTTATGTTTAATTGGATCTATCATTGTAATTTCCAGCGCACTTAAAGCTTAGAAAATAAAGATGATTCATTTGGACAAACAAATCTAAGATATTATAAAAAATAAAAATTCTCTCAATGTAGATTCTTGCTCCTTAACGCAAACAGATTTCTTAGGCCTAAGGATAAACCGCCCCAGAGAAACTTAATTTAACCATTAAAGAACGAGGTGATTCCATGTCAACAGATTTTTTTTATGTATTTGGGTTCAGATGTAGTGATTTTAATTTCTAAAGCCTGTAGTTAATCTAATCTATTAATCCTAATTCCAAAAACCTAGATTGAATGCTTATGAAGAGAATGTACTACATCTCGGAATACATTTTGCTTGATTCTTAAAAATGAAACTTTAAAAGACTTAATTTGCTCTTAAAATCAAACAGGAAAAATTTAAGAGTCAAATACTTAAAGTCCAGTACCATCACGCAAAATTAGATTAGGTCAAACATAAGCACGTAGTAACAACTACATTAAGTAGAATGAAACTTAAACAACAAAATATTTGCTTGTTTTGTTAGCAACAAAGTTCATCTGCCATTACACTAATTAAAATTGGTACAGCTCACAAATTCACTTTTAAAATTAAAGGTGATTTCCTATCGTTAATGCACTGAATTTGCATAACTATCATGAATCTGACTTTGCTTAATATAATTTTATAAAGAGTAAGCATCTATTGACCTTTATTCAACAACTGAAAGAAAATGGAAAGACACCATTTGGTGCAGTGATATTTGAATGGATAATGACAATATAATAATCTCCCATAAGAAATTCTACTTAAAAAAAAAACTAAAATCAAGACCACCTTTCACTTGGGTATAACTAATATTGTGTTACACAAACTGCAACACATCCAAAGAGATCTTAACACTATTCTGTTTTAAATGTACCTCTCTCATATTTGTGCAAACATGCACCTGTCTAACCACGTTAAAAGCAGTGTGATGGCTTTAATAGAAGAGATTAATGCCAGGCTCACGATCACTACAACCGACCCAAAGCGCTTTCAATGACAACTAGCAGCCCTACATTTAGCCCTAAAACAGGGCAGATGAGAATGAATTTAGTATACCCAATCGACCTATAATTAGATGAGGGGTGTAAAGAAATCTTACCCATCATACAAACCCATCATACCAACCATACACTGAGCTGTGGTAGTAGGGTGTAGATGTATCAAAACCATCATCATGATCTGCAAGCCAGCTCTGGCCAATAGCCATCAGAGATAGGCGGCTGCAGTAGCAATGAGAACAACACACAATTAATATAAAGCATTGACTCGCTCCGCAACACTTCAATCATGAACACCCCTATGTGAACTGACGTATTGAAAGCCTTGGAATTAACAGCTGTTTGTGCACCAGACATAAACAGGTGTGCAAGTATATGGGTCACTTTTTTTTCACTAAAGACGGCCTTAGCCTTTAGCTTACCATCACTGATCCAGCCGGAAACACACTGCTATGTCACACTGCCTAAACATTACAGAGATGCCATAGAGTGGCAACATTCATCAGAATGTGTTGGGCTAACGCACAGCCACACTCCACTTCCCCCACATGTGCTGCACGTCACACTCACGCCAGATGCAACACACACACACACAAAAGGGTAAAAACAGGAATATACTACAAACACAGACAAGATAGGGTTTGATACAAGCGGTCATACAAGCACACACACACACACAAATGGAGTTTTAATCTGAGTTACAGAGTCATTTGAAAAGTTTACACATTCTTTTACATAAAGGACAGCTTTGGTGTTATTAATAGCTTAGCTATATGTTGATTTGAATCCACTGCAGAGATAAAATAGAGTACAACCAAAATACGAAGACTTCAGATGCAAAAGGTATGCCTTCTGAAAGTGTATTCTAAAATGAGCATTTCAGATATTTTATTTAAGGGAACGAAAAGAATCTATTGTTTGACAATAGTGAAATTCCTCAACCACTGTGCTTCAAAAAATGCTCAATTTATAAATATATCAGATGCAATTAAGAGCTTTTTGCATCTGACTCTTCCTTTGGTGTTTAATAAGGGGTTTTGATAAGACTTAAATGCCTCTTATTGGAAATACAAAAACCATTGGTGCAACCTTGCTTTGGGGTCATTTAAGGGGCTGAAGGCAGAATAAGATATGTTGGTTACTTACAGTGCATGTCTCTCTCGTGCTCGTATTCAATGAACGCATAGCCTCTTGGTTTTCCAGTTTTCTTGTTGTACACAATGTAGATCTAATAATAGCAGATACATACAAGAATAAGACAGTGGAAACAAACTGACCCAAGATTAATATGCATAATACACGTTCAGCACAATTTACCCGTTTGATAGGACCATAGACCTCAAACTCTCGCCGCAGTTTGGATTCTGTGGTATCATAATTCTGCATAAATAGAATAAAACATGTAAGATTTGTCTTCAAGAAACAACCTCTACACATTTAGATTTTTGTCAGCCGACAAGCTTATGCTTGAGACCAAAAAATACTCACAATTCGAGCCACAAACAGGGTCTTAAACGCATCTCCTTGGGCATTAGCGTCATTATGTGGGTCCCCTGTGGAGATACAGGTCATAAGGTTAATATAGAACATTTTAATGACTTTATTTACAACTGTAAAGCCTTTATTTTAAAGACACTTACATAATTTCAGCTCTCCTTCAACCACAACTTGCCTCCTCTCCATTTTTTCTCTTCTCTGGATTTGAAATGAACAAATAACCAAGTAGTTAGTTACCATAATTTTACATTAAATACTGTACAAATGTAAATAATTGGATAACATTCTTATTATTGGTCATTTATTGCATCATATTACTGGATTAATAGAGCATGTGACATTTACACAAAAGCTTCTGCAATGCATATCTTACTATTGCTGACTGCTATCAAGTTCCTTCATCGATTTTTCAGAATTTGATTATGGTGCGTTGACAAATGATTTCTAAAAACTTAGGGCTATGCAACATATTTCAGCATTATCAAGTGTTCATAGCTGTCAAGACTCAACGGTCCAGAACACAAGGGATTTGTGAATGAATTGCCAAGTTTCAACAATAGAGTGAAAGTTAATCGTGTGCACATTAAATGTAAATTATTTCATCCTCCAGTGGAAACGCATTCCTTTTTTTGTTGAACTCAAAAGAAACATACCAAAAAATGGTCACGATTAACATCCATTGCAGTGAAAAAAAATATATATACATACACCAAGGAATCAATGGCATGTGGTTTCTAATATTCTCCAAAACATTAATACTTTTGTGTTGGACAGATGACACAAAATATAACCGGTTTAAAACAAGTGGAGGCAGAGTAAATATTCTAACTTTTTTTGCTTCAATTAAAAAAAACATTTTGTTAGCAGTGGTCTCAAGCAAAGTTTGGGACAAGGATGACCTATGGTTAAACTCAATGTGACATGTATCAACAAGCTTTTCAAACACGTCTTGTCTGTACTTATATGCCCACTAAAACTACTGAGTGCAGCTCTGTCAATCTAAAAGCAATTCAGCAGGAGAAAACATTAGTAAACTCCCCACAGAGAGTCTATTCAGACAAGTCTCGCTCACCTTCCTCTCCAGTCTCTCCTCCCGTGTCTCTGCTCTTGTGGGTGGAGGGGCATCTCTGGGGTCCTAATAAACAGCAGAAAAAACAGTTATACATCAATGTAACAAAGAAATCGATAAATAAACCGTTCTACATAAAATAACAAGTCAAAAAGCACCTCAAAATGCCGGATAAAAGGAGCAATTCCGCAGTAGGGCTGGTTGTGGTGTTTCTCGTGAGGAAGCTTTCCCAGTTGAGGCAGGAACGGTATGGGGTCCCGCGGGGCAAACAATGCCAACAGGTTCGGCGGAAGAAACTGAGTCATTGTTCACCTGGAAGAGAGAAAAAACACAAACGATAAAAAAAATAATCAACAATTAGGAGCACCTCATGCAAGTTAAGCAGTTACTGTGTGAAAATGGTAAATAAGACGTTATTTAAGATAAGGTGGATTTAAATAAGCAGACAAAATCATGCTAACAGATTCAAACTGAAAATTCAGCGTCTTCACATAGATCTGGATCAGTAAACAAACACCCCTTAAACGAGTCTCGTGAAGTTAGCTGCTAGCAGTCTTAGCTTTCTCGGTTAGCTTCGTGCAAACAAACACTTTTATTCTCCACATAATGATTAAACAAACTACAACTTCAGCATCAGATCACGTTAGTGTAGCATCAACAAAAAGAGACGCATCTAATAACTAATATCAGTGCACTCTTTAATACACAAAAATAAAGCAAAGCTCAGTCGTGGTTACGGTCAGCTCTGCTAATTCACCAACTCTCTCATGATGATCATATCCGAGATCGCCTACATTTCCACGGACGGCCTCCTGCAGTCAATTACCTCAGTTTTTCATTCGGCTCCAACGAAATCTCCGATTTTCGGGCCAAAATCCTCTTGCGTGTTTCTGTGGAAGACCTTCGTGCATGAATTTCTTTAATTCACTCGGTATTTTTGTGTGTATTTCGGTCCACACAATACCCAACGTGTGTTCTCACCCAGTTGAACGAGTCGTTCCTTTCTTAAAATGGCGCGAGGCCGTAAACCGCTGCGGTGTTTCACGACACATTTACGTCTAGTGGTACATTCACGATAGGGGCGTGGCCAGTGTGGAATTTGTACTGTAAAATATTATTTATTGTTATACAGTGTCACAAAACTTATGCTATGTTGATGTACGTATCCACAGTATCCTAACTAGACTTTACCTTTATAATGGGAAAAAATTCACTCTAAATCATAATTTTACTTTAAGTACACCATAAAATACCTTAAAACGTCTTTATCCTTAATTTTGCTCAATGCATGCATCCAAATATTGTCTGAATATTGCTAGTTACTGATTAATAATAATAGTAAAGATATGTACATTATCAATTGTTAAATGGGAATATATTCATATCAAATACAACAGCAGTAAACCATTCCCATTCTACGTTTCTTCCCAAACACAAGAGGCGCTGTAACCAAAAAATGACTTCATCGTTTGTTTTTATACGTAGTTAAAGATGGCGGAGTCCGAGGAGCCGAAAAAACCCACCTGCACATTTATTTTTAAGAAATCAAACAAGAAATTTTCCGCACGGAAAAGAAATGCAAGTGACAGCGACAAAGGTACGTTGTGCTTCTTTCTTCAGTGTCTCAATCGACAGCGAGTTTGACTTGAGAAACTATAATCCCTACAACAAGCCGTCTGTTTAATTAATGTTTATGCTCAATACATGTCTGCAGTTCAGTGTTTTGTTTCTTTATCATCAGAAAAAAGCAGCGGCGATGAGGGCAGTGCAGTGGTCAGAAAGAAGAAATCTGCCGCTGTGAACCCCATGATTCAGAAAGTATGTCCGTATTTCATGTGTTTTATGTAACTAGCCGCTGTTAAACTGATGTCATCATTATTATATTTATTATTCGTTTTATAGACGAAGAAAGTGGAGAGGGAAGCTGTCTCATCGAGTGAAAGTGAAGAAGAGAAGGAAGAAAAGAGCGTGACTGTCGCTTACAAGTCCACTCGCTCAGCGGTGAGTCTGACTGACCCAACATTTGTACAGCTTCATGATTTATGCTACAGCAAATTATGAATATAAACGCTTGATGGTGCCTAATAATTCATGACCACGTATGACTTTACATTTCTATTAACGTCTGACAGTTTTTGCGCTGTCTCATTGAAACATTAAAGGCTGTAATTGAGTGTATTTGACTATGTGTTGCAGAAACCAGAGGGGCCGGATGACATGGGGGCCACTGCTGTCTATGAGCTGGACACAGAGAGGGACAAAGATGCTCAGGCCATCTTTGAGCGCAGTCAGAAAATCCAAGAGGTATGCGGGTGATTGGAAATAACTGGCTGCATCATTGTAAAGTCAGGTTTATGTATGTTATGTACAGATTCAAAGTACCTTTACAGTTCTAGATTTAGATAACATTAAACTCAGCATTTTCAATTGTATTTACACATATTTCAAGTAGACAACAGCTCTACAGAAGGTGATATAGTAGCGTGTCATGTCATGTCAGTTCAGTTATTTAGATACCTCACTCAGTGCTTTCAAGCACAGCAGAATCAATTCATTTTAGAAAATAAATAGCCTTTATAATAGGCCTGGGCGATTTGGCCTCAAATCTAAATCTTGATTAACTAAACATTTTAACCCGATTACAACTAATGATTGATTATTTCATTTGTTTTTGCCCTCATAGTTAACTGACAGGTTTCGTAAAGTGAGAGATGTTTGAAAAGGGTGCATTACTTGATTTTAAAATAATTGAAGGAAACGCAAACTATCTACTATCTATGATTATTTATTGAACATCAGCGTTGAACAACTGAAATGAAAACACACATTGCCTAAAACCAACAGTCTTCTTTTTTTCGTTGCTCTCCGCGCTGCCCACTCTTGTCATCACTATCAAGCTGACCAACCGCAGAGCTTGCGCTACGTATCGTCAAGTAGTGACATTTTTTGAGAGGTGCGCGTCAGCCACGGCGAGGAGTATGCGATTGCTCAAAGTCTGCGCTCAATGCAGAAGAATAAACCAGCATCTAAGGAGCGGGGTCATTTCATGTCATGATATTTGATTGTTGATATTGTTAAGATGGCCAGAATATACACAATCTCTTAATCATATGGCTGCGTGTTTGTGTGTAATTTATAGGAGCTGACTGGTAAAGAAGATGATAAGATTTATCGTGGGATCAACAACTATCACAAATTCATTAAACCCAAAGATTCCACTATGGGCAATGCCTCCTCTGGCATGGTCAGGTGAGTCAGTGTTGTTACGAGTTTTTCTTTCTCTTGTTTCCTCTCCCTCTTTCCTGCACTCTCTCGGTCTGAATTATTTCCAGGTGCAGCGGATTACGGCAGATTGTGATTGGTGCTTGGATTGGCGGCTGTATTTAAGAGGCCTTTGTTTATCTTCTGAACACAAATGAAAATGTTTTAGATTAAATCTGACATCTCTCTCATCCTCCATGGACAGTGAGATTTCAAAGATGTTCAAAAGTCCAGAAACCAAAAACATTGCATGGGACTTTAGTGTTCTGATGTGTAATCATGTAGAGCTCCCAAAACACTTGTAAAAAACTGTAAATACATGAAAGAATACTTTATTTTTTGTATACATGACAGGTCAGGGTGCGCGTTTACTAGGCATGGGCCGGTATAAGATTCTGACGGTATGATAACCTTGGATAAAAATATCAGAGTTTCACAGTATTGTGATTACTGCTCAAAAATATTCTTTTAAAATGTCTGGGTAAAAAAAAAACTATTATTGTTCCCATTGAACACAATATATTTTATTTTAAGAAGCATATTTTGGAACAGTAAACATGACAGGCTAAAGAATTTATTGAAGACAGCAGAAGTCAATAGTTTCGAAAACACATATTTCTTTAAAAAAAAATGAAAAAGACATTCATCTTTCTCTTCTTTGGATATAAAGTAAGCCACAGCACTGTTCAGGTCCAGAGCATGCCTGGATGTTTTGGTGCTTAAGCATTTTGTTTTTCAGATGTTCCCTAAACCATGGGCTGACCAGTAGCTGTTGCCCTAAAAAAACTAAATAAAATAAAAAAACATGTTGTAAAAAACATGTTTAAACAATGTACATATACCACAGTGTAACAGAAAATGTTAGCGGTTTTAAAACCCTGACTTTTCCAAACCGCAGGAAACCTTGAAAGTCACATGGATTGTTTTTGGATCCTTTTCTGGACTTTGAACGTCTCTTGTCTATGGAGGATGAGGGTGCTCTCAGATTTCATGTAAAATATCTTTATTTGTGTTCCGAAAATCAAACATGGTCTGAGGGGATTGGAACAACATAAGGGTGAAAAATTATTAACAGAATTTTTGGTGAACTAACCCTTTAAAACATTCCCAATTTCTTGCATGTGACAGGAAAGGCCCAATTAGAGCGCCTGAGCACCTCAGGGCCACAGTGCGGTGGGATTACCAGCCTGACATTTGTAAAGATTACAAAGAGACTGGTTTCTGTGGGTTTGGAGGTTAGTACACAACTTAATTCCTGTCTGTTTTTGCCACTTGTATATTATCACATGGCAGTAATCATTTCTTTTTATCCTCAGACAGCTGTAAGTTTTTGCATGACCGCTCGGACTACAAGCACGGCTGGCAGATTGAACGAGAGCTTGAAGAAGGAAGATATGGAGCAAACGGTGAGCCATCGCTAGAGACAAGTCTTTGAATTGCTTTCCTTCTTTAGTTGTTTTCTGATGTATTGCTTATTTCACAGATGATGAGAATTACGAAGTGAGCAGTGATGATGAAGATCTTCCCTTCAAGTGTTTCATTTGTAGAGAGTCTTTTAAGAACCCCATTATAACAAAGTGAGTGCTACATCAAGCCATGGCTGCTTTGAATTGCAAATGCTGTTCTCCAGTCTCACCACAGCACAATTCCACATTATGACGCTTTAGCTTGTGTACATCATATCTGAATGCCCTGACATTGTAACCACATTGTTGACTGCAGGTCTAATATGGTGATTGTCAATTTAAAAGTATTCTTTGTTTTTCAGGTGCCGGCACTATTTTTGTGAAGCCTGTGCCCTGCAGCACTACCGCAAGTCTAAGCGCTGCTACGTTTGTAACCAGCAGACCAATGGAGTCTTCAATCCTGCCAAAGGTGATCATGCACCCATCAAATCTGATTTCAATGCAAAATATGTTAGTGTCAAAAAGAAAACAAATTGAGCAAGGGTGCATTCATTTGATCAAAGTGGCCGTAAAACATTTGATAGTGTTACAAGTAATGTTCTTTTGATCTTTGATTTCATTAAAGAATTGTAAAGCACAAAATTAGCATATTAACTTATTTTCTAAAAGATCATGTGACACTCGGACTGCACAATATCATTTCAGCATCGATATCACATTGTGTTTGTCTGCAATAGAGTTGGGATTGTAGTTGATCAGCACAACAATTGAGAATACATGAGATTTGTGGAGTCATTGCCAAGATTAATCATTACAGAGTGAATCTTTATCATTTGCTTGTGTTTTAAAGACGTTTCATAAGAGTTTAAAGCAGAGATGCCCAAACTAGGGCTTGTATGCTGGCCCATGATAACCTTAGATTTGACCCACCATCCCATCTGAGAAGAGAGGGAGAATGATGGGGTTGGGTTTAAGATTGTCAATTCAAATTTAATGCAGCCTTTTGTTTGTTTTATTGTTAAAAACTAAGTGAAATTAAATGTTAAAATCAAATTGTGCAAATTAATTTAATTTTGTTTGAATGTGCATACTTTCACCTGACAATGCAGAGACTTCAGTGAGCAAATCAAGTCAAGGTTAACTGTAGCTGTATTATAAATGGGATTGTTTATGTTTTTATTGCAATGACTTACCACTTAAAAAGTTATACCGCATTAGATAATACAATTTAAAGTAACGATTTCTATTTATTTTGAAATATTTGGAAATAAATTAGGAAATTACCCATGGTAACTTTACCTTCAGCCCACAGCTCTCAATGATACAGCCCTTCATAGGGAAAAGTTTGGCAACCCTGGTTTAAAGCATCAGAGCACCAAAAAAGTATATTTGTAACTTTAGTGGAGAATAATGTTATTTTACATTTCAATATTCAATTTCTGTAGCTGAATACTGTTTGACTCTATGGTAAAACCATAAAGCTCTGTTTATTTAAAATTTTTTGTTGCTCTGTTTTAATAATATTTGCTTGAGATTTGTTTATTATTTTGTATACATGATTCACATTTTTACAAAAATCACCCCACCAATCTGTATTAATTCATGATTTCTTTCCAAACAGAGCTATTCAAACCATCTGGTCAAATTGTGTTCATATTGCAATCTATATTGCAGAGAAACAAAATATCACAATGTCAGAATTTTGCAATATCGTGCAGCCCTATGACACACTGAAGACTGGAGTAATAATGCTGTGAATTTAGCTTTGCATTCATAAGAATGAACTTTAATAAACATTCTAGTATATTATAAAAAAAAAGTATATAAATAATTTTATTATTGAATTTCATTAATTACAGTATTTCACAATATTGCTGTATAAATATCAGCGTCTCAAAGATAAATTGTGGGACCCCCTTGAAAATGAAATGGTACATCTCAAGAGGGTTAATCCTAATGAATGATAAAATGGAAACGTATGGTAAAGATTTGGTAGTTTGGTCTTAATTGTCAGGAAATTCTTTAAATTGAATGACCAATATCATATATAATTCATTACATACATACATACATATATATATATATAACGCTTTACAGAGCATTATCAGAATCTCCTCAACTATCACCATATTGTGAAATTTCATATTATAATATACTCAACCACCACCATGATATGAACTAAGAATAATTGATGTTTTATTCCTCAGAGCTGATGGCTAAAATGCTGAAACGGCAGGCAGCAGATGATCAGCCTCCTTCAGAAGAAGAAGACTAGCACCACACAGCCTCCCCTTCTCTTTTCTACTTTAATCACTCACATTCAGAGTTGTACATTTTCAAAGTATTTGAAATAAACGTGTCTTTTGTAGACAGGTTTGTCAGAAATCTTTTTAAATGTCGGAAATCTTAACATGACTTAAAAAGAAATAAAAAGAATTGCACATCATTCACTAGAGTCATTTAATATCACACAAAGCAAATCTATATTATTGTAATGTGTAAAGATGTCTTTAATGTTTTTTATGGATCATTTTCAAGACAATATTGTACTTTTTTTTTTATTCTCTAACATTGAAAATGTAGTCAGCATTTACTCATCCTCAAGTGGTTGCAAACCTGTATGAGTTTCTTTTTTTCTGTTGAACACAACAGACAATATTTTGAAAACATTTTAAGTCTGTAACCATTGATTTCAATAGCAGGACAAACAAATACTATGGAAATTACAGGTATACAACATCGATCGATATATCTTTTGTGTTCAACAGAAAAAAGAAACTCAAGCTGTATTGAATCAAGTAGAGCAGGGATGTCAAACTCAATTCCTGGAGGGCTGCAGCCCTGCACAGTTTAGTTCCAACCCTGCTCCAACACACTTACCTGTAGGTTTCAAACAAGCCTGAAAGACTTTAGTTTGATCAGGTGTGTTTAATTAGGGTTGGAACCAAACTGTGCAGAGCCGTGGCCCTCCAGGAATTGAGTTTGACATCCCTGAAGTAGAGGATGGGTGAAGGGCAAAATTTTCATTTTTGGGTGAACTACCTTTTTAAGTAAGTCTCGTTGGATGGGAGGAAAAGTAAAGTTAAATTATAGTTTTATTTTTTTAACACTATAAAGGGCTGACATAGTAATTATTATTTTTTTGCTATATTTGGCCTTCGTTGTAAGTCTAATAAGTGTATTATTGAACAGAGTCAACATAAAGCCACTGTGAACATTATGGTTTGATTTCATTTTTGAAGGAAATGTGGTGTAGAATGTTAATGTCATATTTTTTGTGTCAAAATCTTTGTATTATTCACTGTAATACCAAATACCAAGGTAAAATAGGGAGGAGATTGGCAGTATTAAAATTTGGATACCGGTAAGCCTAATTGTAACATCTGGGATTAGAGTCAGAGTTATAGTTAATCAGGCAGCATGGAATTTGACACATTAACTTGTATGATTCTTAGCTTTGATGAAGATTTAATTGCTTAATTCATTTGATGAAGACAATACAATGGTTTTATTTTACTTTTATTAAATTTCTGTACCTTATTACTGTTACGCTCTATTGAAAACCACAAAACTGTGTATATTTTTCATGTGCATCTATGTTTTGTTGTATTTATATGCTTGTTATTTAGTATATTTTATGTAGATGCACTACCCTATCCTTAAAACATCCCAGTAAATCTAAAATGATAAATTATTTCCCAATACAGCTATACCAGCCATCTTATGAAATTGTATTAATATTGCAATATATATCACAGGGAATCAAAAACAACAAACATCAGTATCCTACAGTAATAAGCTTGGCAAGCAATTTTGGAGAGTTTGATGTTTCCCCATTCAGACAGAATGCCTGAGCATACTACACAAGAGGCATTTCAAAGATGGTCGCCGAGTGAAATGACTTGCCTTAAAGGGACTTTGACCGTATGTAAAGAAATCACTATTGCAGAAGCTGTTCTTGAAAATAAGTTATGTAACAAGCAACACTGGTACAAACATACCATTAAAAGCCAACAAGGGGTGACATTTGTGCGGATGCAACATTTATTCCATTTGACCAGGAGGTAAATATACTGAAAATACACAGACGGTCCATTGAAGTACTTCCTTCTGTAACACATGCCAAAGACACCTTAATCTCAGCAAACAATACAACAGAAGTAATATTTTAAACCAATAATTGTCCAAGAAAGCAGGCCAAAATTTAAATGTTCTCTTCCAGCATATTTCCTTTCATGCAAGGGGGATGAAGAAACTCTCCCACAATCCGTCCATTAACTGGACGCTGCTGTGTTTATGTTGACTCTTACTAAGAGCTCTTTACGCTTAGTTGGACAGGTCTACATGGAGACATGAGAACTGAACTGTAAAACGGTTGCTGTGACCTGGCAGACATTCATAGAGTGTCATTAGTTGAGTTGAAATGGACAGAACACATGTCGGTAGCCTCAAACGATCGCCATTCATCACATGGCCAGTCTGTAAGAGTAACCGAAATGTTTGAGGGGTGTGCGGTGCATTGCCTCGGGCTTCAGTTCATGCTTCTCGATGCATTAGCAAGGCTGTGGTGGCTGCTGGCTTTTCATTTCTCCTTTTATGTTTTCCTTGTACTTTTAGTGACGTACACAAATCACAAAGGACAATAAGAAAGCATTCTGGAGTGTCTTATAAGCTTCTTTGAAGCTCTTTGCAATGTCAATATCACACTCATACATAATACAGGCCTTCCCTTTTTCTTCCTTTAAAATGAAAAAAGCAAACAAAAACATTTCCCCCATTTTTCATTAAGAGTCTTACACAACTTAAAAACAAAACAAAACAAAAAAAATCACCTTTTCCCTCCAATTCATCGACCTCCTCATGCCTCATCCACCCAGTGTCAAAAGTCCCAGTCGTCCACATCCAGCTGGCTGAGATCCGACTCCAGACTGGCCAGTCCGGTGGGTGAATCCTGATGCTGCATGCTGTCGAGGCTGCTGATTGGAGAAACTGGACGTAGGAGCTCAGGAAGAGCTTCAGATGGTCTCCGCTTGATCTGAAATGGCACATAAAGTAAAGCGTAATTTAACATCGATGTCACATTTACTTAGATGTGATCTAAACAAGACAGATTAATTCAATTCAGCTTTACATTAACTAAAAAGTGAAAAAAGATAGTAGTAAAATTTGTCCATTATTAACGAAACTCTCAGCTCTGGAAAAGATAATAAACCATAGTAAAGGAAGGGTAGTGCAATATTTAATATTTAACTGGATAAAAAATGAGGCAGAAGAGTGTTTAATAGATTGTGTCGTCGTTTAAAGACACAGTTGACTCCAAATTGGGGTTCTTTCATCTGTTGAACACAAACAAAAACATTTTGAAGAATGTTGGAAACTGGTAACCACTGACTTCCATAGCCTGCTTTTTTCCTACTATGGTAGTAAATAGTTTCCAGCATTCTTTAAAATATGTTTTTTTGTGGGAAAAAAAAAAATAAAAAATCTTGAGGACCGTAGTTAGGAACCACTTATCTGGAAACTACATCCGACAAATGCCTTTGCAAAGACAGTAAACCTCTTCACTCTGTAAATGTTCATTATTTGGCTTAGTTTATTTCAATTTTCTTTTATTTCAGTTAAATAAAATGTTCAATTTAACTATAAACTCTGCAAAGACCAATCTTGTCAGAAAAAAGTAAGTCAGGGTATATACAGGAATCCGATAGAGAAATTCAATACCTTTTAAGACCTTTTTAGGACTCTTTGCATACATTTTAAGAGCTCATCAGGTTTCAACTAGTAACACTGCCGACATTTTAGCTTGCAGTAGAATTACTAAATACTGATAGCAAGAAACGACTTCTAAACTAAAAACTATATTTATATACTGAATAAAATGTTAATCCAGCAAATGGCACCTAAAACAGCAGGAATAACAGTGTTTCCCTACACTGCATCCCAATATTCAAAGATAAAATTCAGGCAAACTTTAGCAAACTGATACAAAAGTAAATACCTTGTAAAATAGCATTTAATTATTTTTAATATTTTAAGGGCCTTAAATATCTTTAAATTGATTTATCAATTTTTTATACTTTTTAAGAACCCGTGGCCACCCTCTAAATGTGCAAATATGTCTGATATTTGCTAGGAAGAGTGTAAAACTTACCTGTTTAAAGAAGGAATGGCCTATTAGAGAGCTGGCAGAGGGTCTGTGGTAAGACATAACATGAATTTTAATACACTCATTTTCTCGGAACACTTTTATGATGATATTTTTTTCTCAAAATTATTACAATACTCTTTTCATGTTCCACATATCAAATACTATATATATATACTAATTTTAATCATACATTTATAATTCTGAAATATTCCTTTAAAAGTAAACATAAACATAAAGCAGCATGACTGACCTTTTCTCAGGATCTCTCTGTAGACACAGTTCCACAAAGGCATGAAAGTGAGAACTGAATGTACGGCTGTACGGGTTTCCCCCAGAGGAGGACGAGGGCTCCCCGTTTGTGTGTCGAGCTCCACCAGCGCCGGGGCCCTCGCAGATCCCAGAGTCAGCCCCCGAGCGAGACGGCTTCATGCTCAGCTCTTCAGGCGGGATGGTGGTGGTGTCCAGCAGGCAGGGGACTGTACCGTTCAGCTTCTCTAACAACATCTGACAAAGACAGTTTATGAAGTTTCATGTAGTATATAAAAACAGAAGAAAAATGAAGAAATAAACAGCAAGTGTTTGCCTTACCTGTGTAGCAGGCATGTCTTTAAAGGGCACATGTCCATTAGCTAACTCACATGCAGTGATACCCAAACTGTAAATGTCTGAGCGGAAGTCATATCCCTGAAGATTCTGTCATACGCAAAAAATGAGCACAGTTACCATTATTAGACATTAATTTCTTCTGTATGGTTTGAATGGTATAAACTACTGTTTTATTTATTCTTTTATTTAGTCTGCATTTGCATGAACAATACAATTAACATACAGAAATATTGTGAAATGTATTGTATATAAATTTGATATATAATATTGTGTTGTGTAAAATATAGATTTCATCAGTCACAAAATCATTTAAAATCATTTAAAACATTTATCGTTATCAGTTTTGAAAACGGCTGTGCTGATTATATATTTTTTTGAAAACCATGATATTTTTTAAAATTCAATTATTGACAGTATTTCATTTTTTCTTGCAACTATCATGCAAATATCAACTCACCTGCTGCAGAACCTCAGGGCTGAGCCACGGCAGAACTTTAACACTGTACTGAGGGAAATCATGCACAACACGAGCTCTCTGACCATGACGGATCAAGCTGAAGATACTCCTAAGACCAGACAGAAACATCTGTCCATCTGCTGAAATCAGGATGTGGCTTGCCTTCACACTGCTATAGACATAAAGAAAGAAAACATTTTTATTTTTATATTTAAATTAGGGCTGTCAAATGATAAAAAAAAAAGAACGTAATTAATGACACTTTTTTTTGTAATTAATCATGATTAAATACGAAATGCCATATTTATTACGGAAATAAAAACATTCAATACCAATACCAAACATAAATGATTTCCATGTTGGATTCTAAGTGGACTACACACACAAACACACAGACAACGCGTGCAGTGCAGCGCAATGGATCCCTTCAGATTCATCAACACGCCCGATCGCGTTCATCAAATTTGCTTAAACTAAGCGTTCTAAAGTATGGCTGTATTTTACAAGCAAGGATTCTGACACAGCAACGTAAAGCAGACACTTTACAAAAGTTGTGTGTAGGGGGAAACACGTCAAACTTATGAAATGTGAGGGCTCATGGAAGCAGCTTGAAGGCAGAGTACAGGGCTATCTTTGACAGCTTGCGACTTTATCCGCCACTTTCACTGAGTACATTTACATGGACACCAATACTCTGCTTTTATGATTAAGATAATACTTATTAAGAGTCTACCATGCAAGCAGCGATTTTTGATTACCTTGAAGGATCACGCAAGTCGCGAAATGCGGAGGTTTTTCTTTCCATTCTCCATAAGGTATCAAATTACATTAAAACATCCTGAATGAAAATATGCTGAATCAGAGTAAACTGCTGAACTGCAGTTAAAGTTTAAAGATTAAAAATGAAACACCCGAAATTGCATGAAACTCTGGAGGAAACGCAGGATAACCTGGTGATGTGACATTGATTGTTTTAACTGAAACTTTCCTTCTTAGAGCGCAGGGCCGGAGCAAGCTGAACTGGTGATCTAGGCAAACGGCAATCACGTCACCCTCAACCCGAAAGTGAAAAAGAAAGTGACCGGTTCGGGGATGAACATAAGGACAGTAAGGAAGGGGGTTGGTGTAGTGATAAAGTGAGAACCGGGGGGTTCGCTAACTTTTCTGCTGCCCAAGGCCTCTATGCATGCACCGTCTCTGAACACACGTCATCCACAACAGGAAATATAAAAAAAGAAAAACTGCAACTGCGTTATTTGCGTTATTTTTTTAACGCGTTAAATATTTCAAATTAAGCATGTGCTTTAACGCACTAATTTTGATAGCCTTAATTTAAATAATATTTGATTTGATTTATTTATGTCGAACAAAATATCATACACTTAAAACATTTCTTCAAACAAAATACATTTCATCACAATCAACAAAAAATATTTTACTTAATTTTACTTCCATATACACTTAAAATAGCTAATCAATTTAGCCGATTGAATAAAAATTTTTAATTTAATTTTTTTCCCTGTTGAAAACATAATTTGTCTATCACTTCAATTTATTTCTTCGTTTTACATGAAACTTACTTCATCCTTTTTACAGCTTTTACCATTCAATTTACCACTTCCTTATATACATTATACCAGGGGTGTCTAAACTCTTTCCTGGAGTGCCGGTGCCCTGTATATTTTAGTTGTAACCCCAATTAAACACACCTGAACCAGCTAAACAAGCTCTTTCTAGGTACACTAGAAACTTCCAGGCAGGTGTGTTGGAGGAAGTTGGAGCTAAACTATGCAGAACACCAGGACACTCCAGGACAGAGTTTGGACACTTCTGCATTATACCTTGTATATAAAGACACAAGACTGACAGTTTGGTGGGTTGATTAACATCTTAACTAATTTGACTAATGATAACAACTTCTTAATTGTTCCTCACCGGTGAACGTAGCCCATCTGATGAATGTACTCCAGAGCTCTCAGCACACCCAGCAGAATGTATGCAATCGTCTGCTCATTTAAGCCATCAGTAAAGTGTGTAATGATCAAATCTCGTGCTGATCCTGGAGGAGAAAACAAACACAAAGGGAACCGTGAGGACAAAAATGTGGTTTATGAGCTCTTTGGATTTCTAGTCTAGCTGATGTAAAGTGTCTGAGCTCACCATAGGCCATGAAGGGTGTGATGACCCACAGTTCATTCTCAGCTATGAAGACACTCTTGTACGGGAGGATACAGGGGTGGTGGAACAGCTTAGACACACGGAGCTCTCCCTTTGGAATAAACAAAGGTAAATGTAATGGTAATGCAGGATTGAACTGTTTTTACATTGTCGTTATGGGGTATTGAGTGTAGAATTTTGAGGTGAAAAAAAATATTAGAAACAACATGAACACAAGGTAATCAAAGCTTTGAATGAGTCAAAAAGTATAAGTAAATACAGAATCCAGCACAAGAAGAACTGCACATTTGAATAGACAAATCAGAAATGCAAAAAGGTGTCAAGTTATGCAATGCTTATACAAAAAAATATTGCTTTATAAAAGTGATATAAAAAGGAATCTTATATCCTTTTAATGAATGTAATTCTATTAAAACAAGTTCAATAAACTCTATTTCAAGTTTCTTCAATTTCATTAATTCTCTGGTTGCTGCATTTTGTATCAATTCCAGCTTAACTATTATAATATTAAGAAACATTCTAACAGTTTATTATAGTATATAAACACACAACAATAACTGTTATGTGTTTCCAAAGAGTTTCTATTGAACATGTTTTGATGAGTGCTAGAAACTGGTTTACTCAGATCCATATTGAAAAAAAATTAAATACTATTTAAATTTGTTTTAACATTCTTCAAAATATCTTCTTTTGTGTTCAACAGAAAAAAACAGGTTTGAAACAAGTGGAGTGTAAGTAAATAATACTAATAATATGAAGTAATAAATAAGACTCAAAATATCACCTCTACTCACCTGTAAGTAACTGACCATGTCATTGGCACATGAATCGAGGTCAATGCGCCGGATGGCTACATACTCTCCTGTGGGTTTGTACACGGCAAGATTGACTGTCATCAAGGACTCCAGACCTCTACCTACACAAGCAGAGACAAACACACCCATTCAATACCAGCTGTAGAAATCAGAGCAGATTAGTTGTGCAGCCTGAACCTCACCTATGACATTGCGCAGCTCATAGGCACTGCTGTCTGGAAGAAAGCTTCCCATGGTGTCCCTGTGAGGGAGGGGGTTCAGAGACTCCCGACTGTCCTCATGGGCCTGAGCCAATGAAAAAAAGAGAGTCATCGGTCAAATACAGCAAGAGCCCCACAAATGCCTGAATAAAACACCTGCGAGCTGACCTCGGCTGTGTCTCTATCCACTTCCTGATGTAAAACTTGGGCATTAGAATGGACATTAATTCAATATATGTTGAAACAGTGTAAGTGGCGAGTGGATTGAGACACAGCATACTGGAATTATGCTGTGATTTTACCAGAGGTGCAATTGTGAAAATGGTTTGTGGATATTCATAATCATACAGTGACACAACAAAGTATTATTTCAATGGACAATGCAAATGTATGAATGTCATTACCTAAGACAATCAAATACCAAATCAACTCACTAAATCGAAGAAGCATTTCATGAAAACAAGCTTTTTCAAAATACCAAATAATACAATGCAGAGAGTTGGAAAGAATTGCATCTAACAAAGTTTTATTAGTTTTGTAAACATGCAATGTTTTTAAAATTTATAATAAACAAACTTAGTACATCTAAATAAAATAAATCTAGTTTACTGTGAGTCTAGTACAATCACAGTGTTCGTGGAGTAATTGCTACCTTCTAATGCTTAAAGTGAGACAAGCTATGTACACACAGAAACTCTAGAGTGACAACTAGCAAAAAAATGTTTGGTTTAACTTGGAAAAATAATTGTGACAGAACCTAATTTTCTCTTTGTTAATACAACATGTTTTAAAAGGGTTAGTTCACCTAAAAATAAATTAATATTTGTTTACAATATTTACAGATTTTTTACTCACCCTCATGTCATTCCATCTTTACTGATCTTCCACAAATTCACAAACACTTTCACTAATGCACAACTTAAGATATTTTTGAAGAAATCTGAGGTCTCTCATTCTCCATACACAAGAGATGTATAAAATCCAGAAAAAGAACTTTAAACAGTGAAAACATTCATCGCGACATCAGTTTTTAACTTTAATTATACAAGGTTTAACCTGCCTAGTAAACCTAATTAATCTAGTGAACCCTTTAAATGTCACTTTAAGCTGTATAGAGGTATCTTGAAAGATATCTAGTCAAATATTATTTACTGTCATCATGGCAAAGAGAAAATAAATCAATTATTAGAAATGAGTTAATAAAGCTAATTTGTATGTTTAGACACATTTACAGTTTTTTTGGCACACAAATTTGTTCCTGCAGCTTCGTATGATTTTATTTGAACAATTAAAGTCGTGTAATTTTTGACACTGACTACATTTACATGGACATTAGTAAAATTATTTGCCGTAATCTAAATAAGACAATAATATGATTAAGGTGTTTACATGAGTTGCTTTTTTAATGTGCCTTTCATGATCCTGTTTTACATGTTACCACACATAATTCAATTAACATCATTGCATCACCACGCTATCCACATTCCTCCAGAGTTTTATGTAATTTTGGGTGTTTCAATTGAAATTTTTCAACTTTAACTGCAGTTTGGCACTTTCACTTTCATTCAGGAACATTTCATGCATGCTGCCATAACAAACAAGATATTGGATGCGAATATGAACTGCTGGAAGAGTGTTGTTTTAATGGAATTTGATACCGCACGCCGTAGGCGAGAAAAAAAGTTTGCATTTTGCGGTTTATGTGTCTGTGGTACTTCACTGACTCGGTAGGTGCAGAGAATAGTGTCAAACAGCCGTGTGCATGTGTGTGTAGACTATGCTGTCGTAAAATGCAGCGAAAATCATGTCTGCACTGCACTGCACTTCAATAATGTGACTATACTCCACATGACTTAATTCTATTTCTGTTTACTTTGGTTATGACTTTAGTCAGAATAAGGTAATTAAAAATCACTGTTTACACTGTTTAATCATATAAAAATGTGATTATTGGTGTCCATGTAAATGTACTCATTGTTTCTGCTTCCTTTTTTGGACTTTGAACCTCTCTTGATGGTTGTGGTCTATAAAAGATGAAGGAACTCTCAGAGTTAATCTAAAATATCTTAATTTGTGTTCTGCAGATGAACAAATGTCTCAGGAGTTTGGAACAGCATGAGCATAAGTAAGAGAAGAAAACTGTATCTATATAATTTTAAACCTATGATTAAAATAATGCAGATATTTTGGTTTTGCCATCACAGGAATAACATTTTAAACTGTAATCAAACATATTCATCAAATATATTCAGCCTAGGTGACCTTTAAATAAGCTCTAGGTAAAGGTTTGGCTTTCATTTTGACATTTTGCTTACTTTAATACAACACTGTTTCATATGTGACTTAACTGTAAATACTTTTTTGACTCACTGTACATTCACACATTCTGCAAGTGTTCTGTAATACTGAAGCACCTGATTTCTTTTAGAATATATTCCATCATTAACCTTTTGTGTTTCTGAGAAAATCAGAGATTTCAGTGCATCACTATGCAAGCAGTGGGTTTGGGTAGCAACATTTTAAGTGCACGTTAGCTTTCCGTCAAATGCATCATAGTATTTTGGCATTTCAACCAAACATACCATGACCACCAATGGGAGTTTCAGTGAATTAGGAAACGTTTCAAGATCACACACCCATTCAATCAGACACTGAAGCCACTGTTAAGATAACAGCACAAACCAACCTGGTTTTGAAGAGGGGAAGGGTTTTATTGCGCATACACTGAAAAATCCCAGCCATTGCAAAGCTCTTTATAGAATCAAATCCATCAAGTTCTAAGAGACCACAAAAAACGGCTTATTAAACATTCAGCCTAACTGTTCTGTGACCCAAACTGCAGTATGAACGGCTTCACAAAAGCATTTCAGAAGCTTCATTTGCTTATAGAATTGCATGATCCCATCAATGCCCGTTTTTAACTCTTAAGAGTTTCCCTCAGTTTTGCCATGGAACTCAGAGACAGGAATAGTAACATGAGAGAGAATCTGTTAATGGAGATCATGCAGGTCTACGGCAACTCAAAAAATGAATGAATTTTATGCCCTTTGTAGCGTTAGCAGGACGACTTCAGTGAACAGTGAAGCAAGCCCAGGATGACTCCATGTTTTGCATGAACACAATCAGAATCATCTTACTCCGCATGCTTAGGTGACCATTGACATCATCTCCTTTGTTCCTGGTGTTGGTTTGGTCTTTGAGACAACTCTTTTGAGTGAATTCCAAGCCTTAAATTCAAAGGTCTAGGTACAAAGAGTCAAAGCGGAATATTAAGCGATTCACTCTGCAGGCTATGTGTTAATCTATGATGTGAGAATGTAACAGTGCATAAATCACTCACTAATCTTGTATGCACTTAAAGGTCACGTGAAGTGCTTTGATGTGCATTTTTATTTGTTGTTTGATGTAATCTCAACTAAAACTTGCTCCCCCTTTTTTTAAAAAAGATTTCTTTTTGGCCTTTTTGCCTTTATTGAGAGGATAGGACAGTATTTTAGACAGGAAACAAAGTGGGAGAGAGAGAGAGGGGGAAGGGTCAGGAAATGTCCTCGAGCAGGGATTCAAACTCAGGACAACTTGAATTGCTACTGCACCATATGTCAGCGGGCTAACCACTAGGCTATTGCACTGACAAGCTCCTCCCCTTTTAATAAAATAGTCAATAGCATTTTGCTTTATCATCGCTCCGCCCATAATAGTGATTGAGCTCAAGCGCATCAAATGTGAAGCTCTCTTAGGGGGCTGGACATTTTAAATAGTAGAGAGTGTTTGATTGGTCACGATTTGATAAGAAACTGAAATATGAAGTGATGTGAAAATTTTTTCTATCCATTTAGGTGGAAATGACAAACAACAAGCCTTAAATGTTTATATCAGTTTTATATCTTCTAAACGTGAATTTTGTTACCGTTTTGGAGCACACTAGCTTAAAGATATCCTAAAAACTAATAATACTGATATTAAAATCTAAAAACTATTTTAATTTCATGGAGCCTTAAATTATATTCACTCATAGGTATATAGCTGATATCAAGATGTTTTCTTCAAGGAGAGAGTCTATCTATAGGCCATAGTGGCTAATCATCAAGTAAAGATGCCATTCATTAACATCACTCAAAGCTTTTGTTCTCCTTCCTTAAAGGGACAGCTCACCCAAAAGTGCAGCAGTTTTGCTGATATACTCATTTTGCTCTTTGCTTAAAGCTAAAAAAAGACAAAATGGCTTTTAAATGACATACTGTAAGTGAACTTTGTGATGTTGAATGCATTATTGAGAGTGCTGATTTTTGAGTGAAGTCCATTGCTCATTTGAACTGAACTGGTTCTTTAAAAAGTGTGCTGTTTAATTGTATTGCTTTTTATTTACAAAACTTGACTCAAACCCAAGCTTTCCTTCTCTTTGGTTCATCAAGCATTTCTTCTTTTTTCATAAGTCTGAGCGGGTGTAAAGGTATGAGTGCCAAAGCAGCACCATAAGTGCATGCATGCAAACATGGGAGCACAGGGGATGTATTCATCTCTGCACTCACACACATACATCATTAAACTTACATTTGCACACATTATACAATCTCACATGCTCTCACACACACACACACACACACACATACACACTATCGCACACCAACAGGCGAATGGATAAGCTGAAGATATTCCACACTTACTTTCCTTAGCGGGCTTGCCTGAGTTTGCTCTGGTGTAGAGAAACCATGTAAATGACGCAAAAGACACACATACAAACAAATAATCTAACTTTAAAGTGGTTCTCACAAATTTAGGAATAACCCCACTAGGACATCTGTAAATTTCAAAGAGCCTCTCTGAGCTTCTACAGCCTTCATGCAATTTAAGTACATATTTAAAAACAATCGATGCCCATTTAATAAAAAGATTAACATCATGCCAGAAAGATTCTACTATAATTGTAAGAAATGGTATCCATCCAAATGTCTTTATTTTAAAATATAATATGCAACATGTATTATTTATACCCTAGCACACTGCATATGCTAATTAAATATAATAGATCAAATAATTTATGCAAGCAGCAATTTTGCTTATATTACTTAAGAAATCAATAGGGTATATGCACAACTAGTGTTTCTTCCCATACCGAAAAACATCCGGTGAACGGTTAATGTGACTTTTTTTTCAGTTTCAAACGGCTCCTTTTACAGCATCAATGTTGTGATGTACTTAAAATACAATTAGTTAAATAGACTTCAGCATTTATTTAGTTGTTCAAGCGTAAAACAAGATGACATGCACGCACCTGTCAGGATTAGCAGGGGAGTGCAGAAACGCCACTGACAATATTGGGAGTAAAATACATAAATGTTCATATTTTAAAGATATGGCAGGGAAAATGGAATTTAACGCAGAGCTGCTTGTACAATCTGAGTCCCACTTTCTATCGTATATAAATCAGGTAGTGAAGATTTTTAAAGAAATCAGATCTACCAGAACGCGGCAAATATGTAAATGTATAGAGTTCACAGGAAGTCCTTCTGCATATACCCTAATCAACAACATAAATGAACCATGACCAGTGGTGTAACAGATCACAAATCTCACGATTCGGATCCCATAATGGTTTTTAGGAGACAAAAATAAAGATAAATGTATAAAGCTAATAAAGCTGATAAAGCTAAATGTATAAATCTAACATTATAATTTGTACATCCCATATTTCTTATTAGTCTCATCTTCAATAAATGATTCAGTTATTCACTCATAAAACCTCATGTTTCATTGCTAGATGTGTCATTTATGAAGATACATTCAGTGGCATATTTTTGACGGCTGGATGTTGCCATTTACTGGTTAAATAATGTAATTGCTGCCAACAACATTCAATTTTGAGTGTTGTTAAATGCACATGACGGCGATTGTAATCTTTACCATAAACATCAGTGATTATATCTAAACTAACTGTTATCTCGGTATTTCTGTATTATATGACTCTTTGTAACTTCATAACCACCTCAAAAGTCTAAAGACTCAATCTCTTTCTTGATTTTCGCGTTTTTCAGATTTGAATGTAGCGAATCAAATAAACATATGCAGATCACGATCATTTATAATTTATGTTGCGTGGGTGTTGAGATCCCGATCTTTTAATGATTAATCGTGCAACTTACAGTGAATGAATAATGCAGGCTAAAGAAGCATGAAAGAAACCCATCGCAACTTCTTTCGTTTCGTCATCCTTACATTTCACAGGAAAGCCAAAATGCTTTCATACGTGTGATTTGGATGACGCAAGAGGTGAACTCTCTGTTATCGTTACAAATTTAGAATTACTCTACCAGTAAAAAAAATGTATCAATACACAGGTCACGTGTGTTCAGATTCTGAACCGCAGGTTGTGATCCGTGCGAATCACAGGTCAACCGTGATCCGTTACACCCCTAGCCACAACCATTAAAACAATGGAAAAAAAAACGTTCATAACTAAACAATCTTTGTTATGCATTACCATATAACACATAACAGCCAAAAGCAAACAGAAATCTATGTCTTTACAGCGGACATGAAGAAGCAATTGTGAACCACAGCAAAATGAGTTAAAGCTGAAAAAAAAAAAATTGCAGAACTATGAAAAGATTCACTTCATGTTAGAATGGAAACCCAAAGGTACAGAATCCCAAATTTTAATCTCTTAACTAGTCTATAAGCAAATCTCCACAATCTACCAATGCATGTACTATTTCTGTAATATATAGAACTCATTTGGTATTAGACATCCTATAGTTCAGTCCATTTACTGTAAGGTTGCAGTGACTCAGCTGTCAGTTGCACCACAGAAGCGATCCATCAACACCTAGCAATTACACTACATTACAGCCAGCTCCACGGACAGACACATCACCACAGGAAGAAGATTAAAACGCTCACAGACACAAGGACACACGCAATCTGCTGTTACCACCATCATTAGTCACCATGATGCAAATGCTGCAGTTTATTACATAGCACTGTCCCACACACCACACTGTATTTACAACACATTTACAAAAAAACGTGATATTAAATTTACAAAACCTATAATAAAGTGCACACAAAACAAACAGCAAGCGGAATAGCTTCATAACTGCTTTTGCAAAGGTTCCAGTCGCTTGTGATCATGGTTAATCTCTGTATGTCGAGCTTCTCTATTGCTGTGAGTCTGCATAGCTGACTATGAGGGGGATTGGAGTGCAAAACTGTGTATTACTCTGGGCCAATTGTTTGTTTTAAGGTTGCAGAGATATTTTGAAATATGACTATTTTATTGGCTACGTTAACACAGCAGCAGTATCAGCTTGTTAAGTCGTGACGTATGGAATACTGTTTCCAGGTCCAAGACACTAGTCATTGCATCCCCTTTTATCTATATTACACATAAAAGTACATTTGATATAAAATCATAGTGTTCACAACAGTGTCTAGCCTTGCTGCATCATCGACATCAATATTTTAACAATTTATTAAAATTGATTAATTTCTGGCCATCAGATATTAGGCATGTATATACAGTTGAAGCCAGAATTATTAGCCCCCTCTGAATTATTAGCCCCTGTTTATTTTCTTCTCCAATTTCTGTTTAACGGAGCACATTTCTAAACATAATAGTTTTAATATCTCATCTCTAATAACTGATTTATTTTATCTTTGCCATGATGACAGTAAAATGTTTGACTAGATATTTTTCAAGACACTTCTATACAGGTTAAAGTGACTTTTAAAGGCGTAACAAGGTTAATTAGGTTACCTAGGCAGGTTAGGGTATTAATTAGGCAAGTTATTTTATAACGATTGTTGTTCTGTAGACTACTGAAAAAATAAAGCTTAAAGAAGCTAATAAAAATGATTTTTTAAAAACTAAAAACTGCTTTTGTTCTAGCTGAAACAAAACAATTAAGACTTACTCTGTTGAACATCATTTGGGAAATATTTAAAAAAGAAAAAAAAATTCAAAGGGGGGCTAATAATTCTGACCTCAACTGTATATCTACTCTTGCTTCAGGTCATCAGGGTGTGCATTTACTTCAGAAAATTTTGAGCCAATTTAAAATGTATTTTTTTAGCATCGTATAATTACAGTTGAAAAACTGATGTTGCAGTGAATGCTTTGGGTTCTTCTTCTGGATTTTCTGAAAAATTCTGACTTTAACTGTATTTATTGTAAAAATCTATCTATTAAATTAATGTATTTAAAAAAAAAAACTTTGGCTAGAATTATGCATTATAGGCTTAAATGATAGAAATAACTAATGAACTAGTGTTGTGCCAAGAAATGCACCCCTGCTATAAATTGTACCTCCTCTAAATTGTGCACATTAACTTAAATTGATTTAAAAGTAATTAATAATAGAGTTATGACAACTAATGACAGTGACTGAGGTGAGTTCCATGATCCCTTATATATATATATATATATATATATATAAATCTGCCAGCTTCAGACTGTTGACTCATGACTTTATTCTCATCTAGATGGATTGGCGCAATTAAGAATTTACAATGGTATAATTATTGGGGTGGTTAAATTGATATTTTAATTACAAAACAAAAACCTTTATCCCATTTGAACACAATATATTTTATTTTATTCAAATATTTTGCAGCAGTACACTTGTCAGGCTAAATAATTCAAATGAATCATTGACTTCTGCGGTCTTTATTGGCTTCAAAAACACAGATTTCATTACAACTTAAAACAGCATCTTTGGATTTCTTTTCTACTGGAGATAATGTTGTCCAAAAAAAATCTTACATTTACCCTAGAAACAGTATAACAGAACATTATGGTGGTTGTAAAACCCTGACTTTTACAAACTGCGGTAAATCTTGAAAATGGATATCATCCCATGCCTATTCCAGACTCGCACTCACATATGCAAAAGATCTTGTCAGTCATAAATATATCTGTGAATGTAGCCTATGTAAATGCAGTTGTCAATCCCAAAGACTGACAGTGTAAACGTAGCCAATGCTTGAACCAAATGTTTGTATTTTGTAGGTCTCCCCTTCACACTCACCTTGGCTACAGTGAAGTAAGCACAGGCAGGTGGTTTGCTAAAAGAAGCACAAGAAGCACAGCAACATGAGATTCTGGACTGCTGAACTCACCTCCAAATAACTCCAGATCCCTCAGGCTTTCCACACTGAGTTTCTCTGACACCCAACGCTGAGAGAAAAAGAGAGAGAGAGAGAGAGATGGGGGTGAGTGAAAGTAAAACGTGGGTTCATTTGAAAGCCAAGCTATAAGCTGAATGGAACAAACAGGAAAACCGCATTGTATCTGCTCATAGGGGAACCGCTGTATGAACTAGCAGAGATGTTTTCAGGGCTTTAGGGATGACAAGCTAACCTAGCCAGATATTTTGTACTGTAACCGTTTTATTAAATCATCAAAAGCTTTTCCACATCAGACGTTGATAGCATATGTCTAAGTTTGGCCACAATTTTAAGATGAAAAAAAAATGCAGTTTTAGGCAACACAGTGGTGCAGTGGGTAGCACTCTTGCCTCACAGCAAGAAGGTCGCTGGTTCGAGCCTCAGCTCGGTCAGTTGGCATTTCTGTGTGGAGTTTGAATGTTTTCCCAGTGTTCGTGTGGGTTTCCTTCGGGTGCTCTGGTTTCGCCCACAGTCTGAAGATTTGCGCTATAGGTGAACTGAGTAAGCTAAATTGTCCATAGTATATGTGAGTGAATGAGTGTGTATGGGTGTTTCCCAGTAATGTGTTATAGCTGGAAGGGAATCTACAGCGTAAAAAACATGCTGCATAAGTTCATTCCGCTGTGGTGACCCCTGATTAATAAAGGGACTAAGCCTGAAAGAAAATGAATCAATGAATGAAAATGCAGTTTTACAGATGATTGAAATCTGGCCTTCAAACGACAGGTTACTATCAAAAATCACCCACAAATATTTGACTGAGGATGAACACTGAACTGAGAATCCATTAAGAGTTAGAAAGTGCTCAAGGTTTTTGCTTGTGAGGTTTTTGGGTCCAATAAGCAAGACCTCAGTTTTCTTTGAATTTAGTAATAACAAGGTTTTAGTAATCCAATTTTTAATATCAGCTATACAATCTGTTAATTTCGTTAATTCGCCCAGATTATCAGGTTGAGAGGAGATATATAATGTTTTCTATCATCAGCATAACAGTGGAAACTAACTCCATGTTTTTTAATGATATCGCCTAGCGCAGTGGTTCTCAAACTTTTTTCACCAAGTACCACCTTAGAAAAAAATTGTCTCTCCAAGTACCACCTTACGACGCTATTTTTTTTAACCAGTATTAAAAAATAGCGTTGTAGGCCTAATTAAGCAGCTACAGGTGTGCACAGTTTAAAAATGATGCAGATTAATTCGTATTATTAAGGATACGTATTATTGTCAGTCACTTTAAACATGTTAAATAGTCTGAACATTAACTGTGCTTGGAGGTAAAAAAAAATGTTTTAGTTAAAATGTGCTTTTAAAAGTTCATTAAAAAATGGCGCTGTTCTTAAAAAGTAAAAAGAAAACTGCTGCACTTAAATCTAAAGTATTCATAGTAGCCTATTCATCAAAAGCTGGAAATGTTATAGACCTCATAAATATAGGCTATATGTAATTTTCCTACACTTTCAGACAAATCTTAAAATATATGTTAAATGTAAATATGACAGGGTTCATACAGGCACAGCCTAATGAAAATCAATTCCAGAACCTATTTTTTTTTTATTCAAGACTGACATGCTATGTATTGAAGACCTGAAATGTATTCTCAGCAACCCATAAAACATTGCATGGGAATAGATACAAATAAAAACCATTAATAATAATATTTATTAACTATATATTAATAATATAATAAACCTGCACTAAATGCTTGTGAAATGTTTTTTGTACTCAAGTAAAAATACTATTGCACTGCTAAAATAACACAAATTTTAGTAAATAATACTAATATTATGTAAAAGTACAAAGTACTCTTTTAAAAAGTACTAGTTGGTTACTTTTGAAAAAAAAATCTGATTTTCATTATGAAATCACTTTTTTTAAGTGTAAACCTGATTGAATGGTTTAATTGCATAAATCCCAAAGCTACATGTAAAGGAATTTGCACTAACAAAGGAAGTGTGACCGATTTTTCCTTTCATGACAATTAATCTTGTTCAATAGCACTGTTAAAACTACCACATAAACTTTAAGGCCATAGAGACACTTTTTGCCCATTTTTTTAAAATGATATTTTCAAGCTTTGAAAGGTTTAATTAAAGTATATGGTAAAAAGATTTAAATTTAGCCTTTTATTTACATATTTTACAATATTTTTCTTTACAATATGACAAATTTGTTTCTTAAAAAGCTGTACATCACATGTAGATTTTATTTTACACTTGATCTTAATCTAAAAGAGAAACTTTAAAAAAAAACACAAGTACACTGTCCGTAAAAAAATAAAACAAATGACTTCATTTTACTTGAGGTATTTGAAATATGACAACAATACATTTATCAAAGCAGTGCTTTAAGAGCCTTATTGTTAATTTTGATAAATAAACAATAAGTAACAATGGATTGTTTTAACCTGTAATACTTTAAGACAGATAATACAGCTAAATGTATAAATCACACAAATACCTCATCCAGAAACATTTACAGCAAAATTACTTTGTCGTAAAGAAATAAAAGATGTTCCACCTTTGCTAAAAGTAAGTTTCACTTCACAACACAAATAAGCCAAATAAGAAGACCATTAGCATTGTCATCGATCATGCATCAATCTATTTCTAAATACTTGATAACTATGAATACTTTTGACTAAAATTTAGTAAAGGAGCAAAGATAAATGTCTAATAGTGGAGAAATCGCGATTATATTCAATCTGAGCACACAGGCGATCATGAGAGGACTTGCAGTTCATTTAGGAAAAAAAGCCTATTTAAGAGCTCGCATATCTGTTTTAGCGATTTCCGTACATGAATGAGCTCTCGTGATAAAATAAAGCACTCGCCGCATTTGCAGAAATGAGTTATTGCGCAATACCTCCATTCCCGCGCCGCCATTCAGAATGTATTTAGAGGAGTGACAGGTCAGAGGCGAGTCGACTGGCTGTCGGAGAGCGAAACGTGTATGTAGATCATCAAAAAGGCAGGAAATATGTTCGCGGTTTATTTGCTCTGCTAGACATCTCTATAGTGAAAACATCCGAGAAGCATTATTCCAACAAAACATTTGTTTTTAAGTTGTTTTTTCTGTCTCTGCAACACAGAAAGCCTTTGTCCCGCCCTTACGTTTCACGCACCTAGACAAGGTCGACTGTGATTGGCTACTTTTCATGTCAGTCAAATCACGCTTCAGAATCAATTCTTAAACTTCGGAAACAGATTTTCAGCAGCTTATGACACAATGCACTAAAATAAACACTCTAAGCACAGCACTGTGATTGTACGCTTCACAAAACAGCCAATGCTAATCACATTGATGTAATATTACGCATTAAAGGATTAAAAGTGTTAATTGTTTATTTCATTATTTGGCGATTCCTCCGCGTACCACTAGGAGGAAGCCCGCGTACCACAGTTTGAGAACCACTGGCCTAGCGGTAGCATTTTCAATGTGAAAAGTAAGGGACCAAGAACTGAGCCTTGCGGTACCCCACAGTGTACTTTTGATCGGTATGATGCCTCTTTATCAACTGATACAAACTGATAATGTTCGGATAGATAAGACCTGAACCAGGTCAACGCAGTTCCTGTAATACCAACATAATTTTCAAGCCTATTAAGGAGAATATTATGATCGACTGTATCAAATGCAGCACTGAGGTCCAATAACACAATAACACATCTACACATTGGACGTCCAGCGCTCTTCAGCCTATGGTGCCTAAACATCAGCTCTGCACAGGAAGTTTGGCCAGAGGAGAAATGGTTGTGCCCAACTGAGCCTGGTCTCTCTCAAGGTTTTTTTTTTTTCCCTTTCGTCAATTAGAAAAGTTTGTTGCTTGTCACTGGCTTGCTTGGTTTGGGACTTGTGGAGTTGCACATTGATGGATTTGCTCTTCAGTGTTTGGACTTTCAGCAGTGAAAATTTTACCACACTCAACTGAACTAAATTGAACTTCATCTCTAAAAAAAATGGACTGACACTGTTTCAATTCACTATAGTCTTCTACAGTACAGATCTACAGTAAACTGTAAAAGCACTATAGAAATAAAGATAAATTTAATTAAATCACCATATAATTTTAAATAGAAGAGGATAAAATATATTAATCTGCTTATGTCACAGACATCAGTTGTATTTATCTTTGTATGCTAATTTGAAGACATCTTGAGTAAACAGCAACAAAATACACTCATATTAAACTTGAACAGGAAATGATGCAACCTGTTTTACCAAATACAAAAGTTTATGCATTGAGCTTCATCAAGATGACTTACCAAAAAAGACATGGATCCTGAGATGGTGATGATGACAGGTAATAACACTTTCATAAACCCACAAAGAGTAAAAATCTGCAAATAAATAACAGAGTGTATAAAATAATCATAATCTGATACTTCTGAAACATGTAGAAGCTCTTGAATGACACGTTAGTTCAAAAGAATCAATTTAGATGTATTGCCTTGATTGATTACTGCATGTTTTGTAAATAAAACACAACAAGACTTTGCTCAGCATGGGTAATGTACATGCATTGATACTTTAAAAAGCCAGGTAATTCATTTAATAACATATGTGTCATGCCAGCTTTCAGGTCAGTCTCTGTGTTGCTCAAGCAGCGACATGAATATCTCTCATTTATGAAATACACAGCTCGTATGTCCAACGTGCTTGTGTAAAAGCTGCAGTGTTGTCGTTCAACTCACCCTCCGCGAATAACTTATGTAGCTTTTACTAATGAAAATCGTCAAATTTTCGACTATCAACAAAGCTGTGGATGTAACGTATTTTTTCTCCTCGCCGTGGGCTGGGTCGTGTTGAGGAACGGTCGGTGATTGGACAAGTGACGTTGACCAAAGGTTTCCTACTAGTCTCCCTATTGGTCTAAATCTTATGCGCCAAAAAAAAAAAAAAATCTTCATTCCGTGTTGCCAAATGTTTTCCTAAACCCCCCTTTACTGATTCAATTTCTAAAAAAGTAATTAATCAAAAAGTACACTACCGTATTACGGAACCCCGGAAGGGACGTAGTGGAGGAGAAAAAAATGGGTGGGTAAAAATAAAATAATGGGTGAAAGAAAAAAAATGGGTGGGAGGAAAATATATATTTCTAAGTTTTTTGCGTTCTCTCGCAAAGTTTTGCGTTCTCTCGCAAAGATGTTTTGCGTTCTCTCGCAAAGATGTTTTGCGTTCCCTCGCAAAGATGTTTTGCGTTATCTCGCAAAGATGTTTTGCGTTATCTCGCAAAGATGTTTTGCGTTCCCTCGCAAAGATGTTTTGCGTTATCTCGCAAAGATGTTTTGCGTTATCTCGCAAAGATGTTTTGCGTTCCCTCGCAAAGATGTTTTGCGTTCTCTCGCAAAACTGTTTCTCCACAAACACTTCCTGTTCACTGCACTCACGTAAACCCTCCCGTTTTTGCTGAAATTCTCCCATATTTTACCATTCTACCCCACTTTCTTTACATTACTGTGCGCTGATTGTCGCCTTTCACTTTGCAACCTCTGAACCAGTGAATGCATGTTTAAGCGCTGACTGACAGACGCGCTCCATACAATAAACTGATCCCATACCAGGGTCTGTACGCGCCATTTAAAGGGACACTTCTGTTATCAAACAAGTGCGCAGCAAATGAATCTCATGTTTTGTTTAGTTTGATAACAGAGGTGTCTCTGTAAGAATGCACAGATCTATAATGAAAGCAGTCCATTACTTTAGAAACTGTTTGTGCTCATTTAAGAGAAAATAAGCTGTTTAAAATAAAACATGCAGGACGGAGATGTTTCATATTATTCAGTGTATTTGTCTGTTTAAACATACACCCGCTCCTCTGTAAATGGCGTGTACAGACGCTGATCTGGGATCAGTTTATTGTACGAAGCGCGTTTGTCAGTCAGCGCTTATACATGCATTCACTGGTTCATAGGTAGCATACGCACAGTAATGTAAAGAAAGTGGGATAGAATGGTAAAATACGGGAGAATTTCGGCAAAAACGGGAGGGTTTACGTGAGTGCAGTGAACAGGAAGTGTTTGTGGAGAAACAGTTTTGCGAGAGAACGCAAAACATCTTTGCGAGGGAACGCAAAACATCTTTGCGAGAGAACGCAAAACATCTTTGCGAGAGAACGCAAAACATCTTTGCGAGAGAACGCAAAACTTTGCGAGAGAACGCAAAAAACTTAGAAATATATATTTTCCTCCCACCCATTTTTTTTCTTTCACCCATTATTTTTTTTTCACCCACCCATTTTTTTTCTCCTCCACTACGTCCCTTCCGGGGTTCCGTAATACTTCAATAGTTTGCGGTCAGTAAGATTTTTAAATGTTTTAAAATAAGCTTATGCTGCTCACCAAGGCTGCATTTATTTAATCAAAAATAACTATACAAAAGAAGTTTAAAATTGAATTTAATAATTTATTCCCGAGAATTTAAAGATGAATTTTCAGCTTCATTATTCCAGTCTTCAGAGTCACATGATCCTTCAGAAATCACTCTAATTAATAATAATAATAATAATAATAATAATAATAATAATAATAATAATAATAATAATATATTATTATTATTATTATTATTATTATTATTATTATTATTTACTTTTCTTTAAAAAAAAAACATGAGAAAAAAACTGACCGCAAATTTTTAACCGGTAGTGTATGCTGTCTATAAAAGCTTTATTTTAATTTAAAAAAACATTTTAGGCTTGTGGGAAATACTTTGCTACTTTATTGCAACCTTTATAGTGCAGTTATTTAATCAGTTGGGTTTATTTTTTACGGATCTGAAAGATAGAATTAATTCATTTTTTTATTGCTTTTATTAATTTAGTTATACTCTCTCCCTCTCCACGCATCTTTGGACTCTAACACACGTTTGCATCGGTCCCTTTGTATGACATTGGACTGTTACCTCATAAAATCTCTAAAATTTAACCAAGAATAGACTTGTGCTGAAAACGTTTTTGCCATTCAGTGAAGTTAATGTTACATAAAACAAATTAATGAATGACTATAAAAATGTATATGGTCATTAGACTATTGCACTTTTTATGCTTGTGTTTATATAGTCCTACTGTGTGTAACGTTTGTATTTTTACAGTATGAATAATGGGAGTCACGAGCCACTTGTATTATTGTTTTTGGGGATGTAGGCTGAAATGTTTCCATCACTTTACCATATTTATCATATTTACAAGCTTTTTGCACTATTTACTGTTTTGCATCTACACAACTCTTGTTTGTGTAGATTGTTGTCACTCCTTGCCATATGCCCTTAAGTGTAATTGTATTGTTTATCATTTTTATTTATGTTTTTTAGATTATATTATATATGTAAATGAATTTGTTGCAATTTCTTTTTTAAAACTCTATTTTTCTATTAATCTTATATGTTAGGCACATATAGGGTCTGAGAGTAACAAAATTTTAAGTCTCTGTGTGCCCTGTACATGTGGTTAAATTGACAAAAAAGCTGACTTTGACTTTGATATTTACATAAAAAAAAATCTTTGATTCATTTATAAATGCACAAGTGGTGATTAAACGGAAAACAGTATAACGTAGTATTCTTGGCAATAATAATTTCATCATTGATTCAACCAAAAAGTGCAGTATTTGTTAAAAATGCTATAATTTGTAAGGTGTAACTATCACTCAGGGTAAATTATTATTATTATTATTAATTAAATTTTTTTTTTTTTGCTGAAACCAGGAAGAAACATTACAGTAAATACAACATAAATTCAAGTATCAATCAACAAGTGACATTGACAAAAAAGTACAGTACAGAATGAATCAACGAAAAAATAACATCATGAGAAATAAAGAGAAGAGAGAAGGGAAGATACATTATTATTATTTTTTTTTTTGAAAATACAAGGAATAATTTAAGATTACTTAAACAAAGATATTGAAAGAGAGCATTGATTTTGACAGTTTTTAAAGCTTTCTGACTAGATGATCCTGAAATCAACATTATATAATCCTCCATATCTTAAATGAAAACCACAAAGGCAGGTTTACTATTTGAACACACAGAAAATGATTTATATATATATTATTGCTTGAACTGACAATACAAGAACATCATAACAAAGTCCAAGGAATCACAGGCAGGTCTTTAAATGTTCAATAATGTACATAGTCATAAGAAGGAAAATGTAAAATCACATACAAATGCAAATAATACCATTCGACAGAGGGGAAAAATAATGATATAAATATAATAATAATAATAATAATAATAATAATAATAATAATAATAATAATAATAATAATAAATTAAACAAACAAAATGAAACAAATAAATGAAATTACAATGATGCTTAAACAAATAGCCATAAGGAAAGCAACTAAAATCGAAAATATACTTTAAATACATCTGCATAATATTTCAGGAATCTTATATATTTTTTATTGTTAATAAGATGAAGTGATTTTGCGAGGGAGTTCATTTATATACTAAAATGAGCAAAAGATGGGTAATTATTTGCGAATTTTTTGTTTGTGAAGGAAAATTTTGACATATAAGATAAAAAATGTATGTGTTCCAGGGATTTTGCGTTTGGGTTATTATTATAATAAAAATAAAATAATAAAAAAATGTCTTTTAGACTAAAGCAATTCACAGAATTGGCAGAAGCAAATATAAAAGAGTTTAGGAGTGACCAAAATTGCTTGGATAAAGGACATATATCTCCTCTGCTTGTTTGCAGAAAGAACAGAAGCCGTCTATGTCCAAAAATTTGGAAATACTCACAGACAATGATGAGGATCTGGCAACATCGTTTTCTACGTCCTACACCAAACCCGTCGCGTAAATTCTACCAAACAAGCATCAGGCCATAGTATATGACGTAAAACACAGTCGCCGAGAAGTGTGCAAGATAGCCCGAAGTGGTAAATACGCTGTGGATAAATAAGGTGTCCACCCACTTTAGAAGACCGCTGTTTTCACCTTATCAGTGACAGGTAAATAAACAAAAAGCTAACAAATCTATCCAGTGCTCTTTAGCGCATGTAAAGTGAAAATAGTCGAAGTATAATCCGTACACAGACACAGCTCAAGGCCTCTCCACAATCAGCGCAGCGCTACGACACAGTGTTGTCGACCGCTTTCAGTTTGCCTGCAGTCATACTGAAAATATTTTGATATAAATATACACTTAAAATCAGCACAGTGGCTGTGATAACGATAGGATAATTACCACAATTGCGGCAGTGGACGAGAATTGTCGCGCTGCATTTATATTTCTACAGTACATTAACGTAAGGTGGATGGTATCTGCTTTTATTCCTCATTTTATTGTTTTTCAGCCCAACAACGATGAACTGGAACAAGGGAGGCCCAAGTGGCAAGCGAGGGTTTGGATTTGGAGGATTCGCTCTTGCGACTGGGAAGAAAGAGGAGCCTCATCTCCCACAGAAGGCCCACTCCTCTTTTGGGGGCACGGGACCGTCAGGTGGATATGGCAAGAATCAGCAGCTATCGTCGTTTTACAAAATAGGAACAAAACGAGCCAATTTCGACGAGGAGAACGCGTGAGTACTGCAGTTAGTCAAATACATTACACACGGAACACTTCACCTCAAAATGACATCTAAAAATAAACAGAAAGAAAATGTGTTCACATATTTGACTTGCATTTAAAAAATGTAACTTACTGAGTATTTACTCACCCTATTTACTCACCCTTAAGGCTAATTGTTAGCCTTGTTGTCCTGCTGACGCAAAAGAAGATATTTTGAAGAAAGTTGAAAACCTGTAACCATTGACATTCATAATAGGGAAAACAAATACTGTGGAAGTCAGTGGTTACAGGTTTCCAACATTTTCACGTC